TTAGTCCATGGAAAGACATAACCACTTCTAGGACACCATCTCATCCTAAACTAGATGTCTAGAACAAGTCAGAGGAATCTTATCACTCAGCGTGCCTATTTCTCTTTGCTGATGGAAGGGGAAACTAGTAGGACCAGCATAGATAGGAGTTTCTGTATTCAAAAAAACCCCATATGAAATTGGACAGGAGAAATCCTACATTGTACAACACCCCAGATGATTCACCTTACCCACTACTCTCTGTGTTCTAGACTGGGGTTTGCAAACGCTAAGGTGGAGATAAAGAGAAACGTCAAGTACAACAAGTCTTCAGCAGTTCTTTATGCAACTCCTGGTCCCACAGAACATCCGTAACATCTACCAACTGGAGTTCTACCATTGTCCTTTCTGCAGATCTTCTAAACATAAAGTGGTTCCATAAAAATCCACAAACTACTAGAATTTAAAACTTAAAGAGTAACATGTATGTATAAGGGTACACAGATAAGCAGGCTGATAAACTGAATGCTAGTGTCCTTTACAGTTGCCTAAGAACGTGTTCGTGACATTATCTTAGCATTCAGACCACCAACACTTTCCTAGTTAGAGATGTAGTAATGTACCCCCACCCTCAATAAACAGTTATTAAAACATCTGTTAAAACTGCTGAGTCCCAGTTCTACTTTACCTCCTTTTTCTATATTAAAACTCCAGGCAGCCAGCTACAGAAAGAGAAAGCACCCTCCTTAACAGACCGGCATATCCTTAGTTCAGGGGCACATAATTCCACAGCATCCCAAGGTGTCAGTGAAGCACAGGTGGCACTGCACTGATATAACAAACTCCAAGATGATAATTTTACAAATACAAAAATAGGCACTCTCCCTAAATTAAAAACTGACCCCGGCACACCACCTTACTCAGCATTTTCTAGCTGTTACTTCTATCTCCTCCCTTCAAATTTCCTGTACCCTTTAACAATACACCTTGTCTAAAATCCGCTCCAGTCCCATAAGGGTCTCACAGGAGCTTCTGGAGGATCAGCAGATTTATAATTCAGGTTACATATTCAGGTTAACCTGAGGTGTATATAGCCTTATTTTAGATTCTAGGTTTTTTCAGTCTTGGCCAGTGGCTCTGTTTTCTGGCATGGATGCTTTGACTCAGCTGCTAAACCCATCGCTGCCTGTCCTGCAGCCAGTTACTAGAGGATGGACTCCACATGGAGACAGTCGGGTCTTAGGGCACTAACAATAAATTGGCCAAGGAAGCAGAACTTCTCAAGGCAGCTCATCCAACAGGGTTTTTTGGAGAGGTGGGTGCAATAAAGAAAGGATGTTTTGCTTTTGTTATCTAAAACAAAAATATCCAATGTCCTGATTTTCCTTAGTTGGTCAATTATTACAGATTGCAAATGATAAACCTCAAATAACACAGAGGTTTCTTAAGGATAATTACTAAAAATTCTTTGGGCCTAACATACACAATAAGCCCAGAGAGACTAAATTTCAGTAGTTAACATTTTGGTATTGGATGCAATCTGTGAAGCCTTTATCTGTAATATGATGGTATCATAAGATCATAACGTTAGAACCAATGGAATTGAAAACAATCTGTCTTTGCTTCCTTTGTTTAATGACAAGAAGGCCTGACCCACAAAATTGTACAAGTAAGATGTACTCAATCACATCACTACAGTTCACATTTGCACTATTTTTGATCAGGACTTTGAAATAGTATTTTGAGTTTGTTCCTTGATGTTGTCATCAAAATACTTATCAGTCTTACTGTTGTTAGGATGCTGCTGTTCAGTTGAAATACTTCAACAGGTGCTACTCGTTTTTGTCTCAGGCTCTGAGTGTTTAGTGGAATTTGTTTGATCAAGCACCCATTACTAGTTTTTAGAAATCTTAGCAACTACATAAATTCTGTTTTCATGCTGATGAAATGCTGGATTTCTTTTCATTTACATGGATCAGTTCTTGTAGAAGTTCTCTATCTTCCCACTGTTTTTATTCTGGATGCTACTTAAACATGACATTTAAGTCTTGTAATGAAAAATGGAAGTGCTTTCAAGAAAAGCTGTGTCACAAGAGTTAGAGGTTATTTTTATTAAAATGTGAATTTGTTTTAGAAGGGACTTAGCAAATGTATCACTTATGGTGGTAGGCCTGTATTTCCTTCTTTCTAAGTGCAGCATCTAGATCCTCAAATACAAGGGGAACATAAACAAGGTAAAAGGAAACCACAGCTCAGTGAATGATCTGTTCTATGATCCAGCCCATTTCATGGTGAAAAGTCTTTCGGTGATAATGCTTTTCACATCCCAAGGTCTTCTTTAACATGTGTTACAAATTTTCAGAATGTCCCTAACTTGGGAAATAAGCGAACACCTTCAGTAGTAAATCTGGCCAACACAATACACAAGTATTTAAAAAATGGAGAAATTCCAGATTCCCCAGCCAGGACTTGAACCTGTGACCTGCTGGCCCAGAGGTGTGAAAGCACTCTCTCGAGCCAATGATATCACTTTAAATGCTACAAACTGAAGACATGTCAAATGAATCATTTATTCAGTTCAATCAACTTTAAATTTTTCATGGTAAATGTTCCTGAAAACAGAGAAAGGCTTCCAGGACACACAAGCATACTGCCTCCACTAAGAAATGTAAGCTTGTATGTTTGTTCTGACATAATAAAGATTCAATATGCCTTTTTTAAAAAAAATTAAAAAATCTATGTTCCAATCTATAAGGATATGCCTCATTTTCAGTTAAAGCGGATACCTTTGAAGGCATATTAAACTTCACATAAAAATTATGTCTGGAGGAAGAAAGATTTTATGATCCAACATAATGCTCTTCAGCTTTGACTGAGAGTCATCCAAGTGACATTTATCATGTTATCCATCAGAAACCTTAATGTCATTTTTAAAATGAATTTCTCAAGTTTCTTCATAGAGCTAGCTGGGATCAGCACCCCGCTGTTGTCACAGGATCGCTGCTCCAGAATCTTGTGGTCCTAATGATCAAAATCCATCTATTTCAAGCCTAAGTATGTTCAGACTGAACTTGTTCCAATTTTTTCCTCACATCAGCGTTGTTGTTTAATTTCAAAGCTTGTGGGAGTCCTCTATGATCATGCTGTAGCGGAGAGTCTTAGCATTTGCAGCCTTTATCCTGCATCTAGGTTTGGCTTTTTTTTATCTTCCCTTGTGAGAGAGTTTCTCCATTCTCTGACCATGTTGGTAGTCCTTCTCTGTTCCTTTTCAGATTTATCCTGCTTTAAATCTAGAAATCTTCAGAAGCAAGTCTCGTACCTACCTGAACTCTCTACCAGGAACAATTTTCCTTCCTTCTCTCAGGGTTGCATCCTTGCATGACACACATGGGTCACTGTCATCACGTGATGAACTTTGTACAAGAAAATCTCCTTTATTCTGCTCTATCTTTCCACCTGAGGAGCTCCAGGTCATAGCAACAATTCTTGCTATTAGCTATTGCCCTGTATTTTTTTTTATGTTACATTTCATTTCACTGCAGTTGTTATTCTAGCAGTAGTAGTCATTCAATGTCTGGGAATGTCCTCCTGTAAGATTTGTTGTGACAAAGACATTTCAGAGATTTCCATATCAAGCTGCTGTCATGCCCTGTTTTTCTTCTTCAGTCTCTTTCTGGGGTAAGCATCAGCCAGCAGTTACTCCAGCCAACATCATCAAAATCAGGCACTTTTTTCAGTTGCTGCACTTCCAAAGCAAACTCAAGCAAGTAAAGATATATAAAAACAGGCTGAGGGACCTTGCAAGTAAATTATAAAAACATAAAACCCAAGCAGACACAAACAACCACATTAATGCTTCACTGAGCTTTTCTATGTAGTTTTAACTCCAGGGTTATTGCTGCAAGTAAAACATGTATTGCTTTAGCCACATTATGGTTAGAATAACACAAGTCCAAGTAAAAATCCAGGTATGATCAGAATAAAATGCATGACTGGTGCAGCATGGTATTCCTACGTGGAAAACCGTATCACTGAAAGACACGTTTGCAGTAAGAAAGCTACATCCAAACTAGGCCTTGCAATAGTTTATATGGGGGAAGAAGTCAGTATGGTACCAGACTGTGTATACCAGGTTTGACATCTCTCAGGCACAGCATGACATATGCTGCTTCCACTGGTCTCTTCTCCAGTCCCTAGTCCTCAGAAATAACTCAGGGTGTCAATGACATTTCTCTCTATAGCCATTTAGCTTTTGTAGTCACCACAAGAAGAAGCTTCTACCTGAAATATCTTGGCACAGTGTCTAATTTCTAAACATGTAAACAAAATATAGTCTTTAGAAAATATGACTGTCAGTCAGCTTTCTTTAACATTATGTTATATTCCCTGGAAATTCTTCCGTCCTTATTGCTACTCCATTTCACTTATCTATCTTAAATTGCTCATCTATACATTTCATAATATCTGAACATATAGCCATATAATAACAACTCATTCTTTGATAAATTTAGTAATTCTAAATCACAACTTAGCAGATCCTTATCAATCAAACACATCTGACTGCAGCCAGCCTGGCAGAATATCACTCTGAAAAATGCATCTGAAGGTATAATACCAGCAACAAAAATCCAGTTGCATAACATGTTGAGTATCATGTGTGTGTGTGCACAGGAACTGCATCTGTATTTTCATAGATGGCTTTTAATTTGTCAGTCATGTTAAGGAACTCTGCTACCCTTAAAATGCCCTCCTGTTTCTACCAAGGTTCTATATTAGCAATCATTGATAGTTCCACCTGAAGGAAATGGGTCCTGTAGTGCCAAAAAATAAAAGCAGCTAAATTTTCAAAATCTAGACTGTAATGATTTACCCTTAATTAATGAGAAAAATTTCCATCAGTTCTTGAAAGGTTAGCGTTTTTTGTTCTTTCTTATGTTAGTAGCCCAAGTATCAATACAATGGATTAAACTGATAAAGTATTTCAGATTTAATTCCAAGAAGTGACATGTACATTTCCTTACCTGACTCCTTCATAGGACACAGTGCGCACTGCATGCCCCAAGCTTCACCGTATAGGCAACAGCACTCGGTATATGTAGTTTGCTTTCCAACCAGAGGTCGACTACAAACAAAATCATCACTTAGATGCTGCCAGCAAAGATCCTGGTAGACCTCAGTTTCTTCAGTTTGTTCTGATGGAGAAGACAGTATTAGATCATCATTGCAGCACTGTTATTTAAAAAAGATACTGGCATAATGTGGAATTTTCTAAACTTAGATTAGAAAAATAACCTAGCTTTACAGACTTTGCTGAATACAAGTTGAAGATTAGAAGTTATGACCATTTTTAAGTGCCTAAGGTGGCTCATACCTTGAGTGTTCAGCTTTGCAAATATCTTAAAAGGTTCTGATTTGGCACTATTAGGCCAATTTAAAAGCACATTGGGTTGGACACCCAAGAAATAAAACTTCCTAAATCAGTAGTCGTCGCTGAAAGCTTAACACTGACTCAGCTCTGCTCTCATTGAAGTTGAGAGAGCTTGACAAAAACCAGTGTTAGGACAGAGGTGAATATTTGGGTAACTCCATTCACGGAATGGATCTTTAAAAGTTGCTATTTTGCTTTTCTTACATTGCTGTCAATGGCATCTGAAAAAACTTTTACAGCTAGGGTAGAGCTGAACAAAAATTTTACATGGGCTCAACGGGAGACTGGACAAATACTTGGAAGAGAGTCCCATTAACTAAACAGACAAACTACATCAGGCTCAGGAAATTCCCTGAGCTGAAAATAGCTGGAGGCTGGGAGAGTGCTGGGGAGGGTGAGGAGAAGCATTGTTTATCTGCTTTTCTGGTCCCTAATCATCCACTTACAGCTATTGTTAGAGACAGAATACTGCTGTGAACTACTGTCACATTCTTATGAACATTAACAAAAACATGTGTTTTTGTCAAAGCTGGAATATTTCAGAGGCATACTAGTTCTGACAAAGAACTTGGTGGGAACAGTTCCTAGTCCTAGCAATGTCTGATCGCTGCTGATCAGAGGGAGAGAAACTGTAAGCTTAATATTCCACTTGGAACATAAAAACCTCTGCACAATTGTTTTCTAAAGTCATCTGTAAGGTTTTCATTTTGTTCCAACATAGAGTGAAAATAAATGTTGTCACAAAGGTTTTGTTTTGTCTGTACATATTTACTGTATTTTTACATGATGCACTGGTGCATGGGTGAGTATAGAATTGAAACCTAGCTCAACAGCAGGACAGTGAGTTCTGAAAGTGCCAAGGTGATCAGCATTTAGATACCTCTTCCACTAAGAACTTGTCAGAACACGCAGTGAGGAGCAGCGGTGGGCCGCTGCAACCAACTCCAAATTCTGCTGGCAGCAAAGGAACCAGCCTGCCCCCTCCCGCTCTGCGTGAGGGAGGACATTGCCAGTAGTGATAACAAGGCCTGAGTGCTTTGTGCTGGGTGAGACCATTGCTGTATCAGCCCGATGTCACGTGACGGAAGACCCTTTGGGCCCTTGCATTCTCTTCGCATCCTAGATGAACCCAAAGGACAATCCTGCTCTTGGCTTGTTTAACTGAAGATTGAACAATAGAAGTGCTGTGGTTCCTTCACAGTTTCAGGCAAGAGGATGACCACATTACTCCTCAAAAGTATCAGTCTTATAATTTGGAGTGACTAGAGCAGGCATTCAGCCTGTATTCCCATTTCCTTTCACAGAAGTATCTTAGAAAAATTCATTGCAAGTTGCAGGCACCAGAGGTCTGGATTTATGGCTATACAGTGCCAGTATTAATCAAACCCATTGTAACATTTCTTTCAAAGATGTGTGTGGCATAGACAAAGCTGTGCAGACTGCATAATGCTCTGGATTTCTGAGACGTTTCTAAGAATCTCATAATATTTAACATTTTTTCTGAAATCAATGCCTACTGAAATTAAAAGAACATGCAAAAACCTTACTTTAACAGTGATGCTGCAGCCCACAGCTTGAAAATGTGAGCTTGCTGTACCCTCAATATTAATCAATTGAAAGCACAGATAAAATTTCAGCTATTTCCTCCTATATCCTGTTATTCCTGTTTCTATTCCTTGCTTTGTGAGAAGCAGTCACTTACTCTGAACTGAATCTCCAGAGACAGCCCACAGCCAATCCCCAGCCTTAGCGAGACAGCAAGCAGGCTGTGCCTGGTTACCTACAAGGCTGGATAAGGTGCAGACAGAGCTGGAGAACTGGGGGGCTAAAGGCTCCCCAGCCCAAGCCTAATCTCCTTAATGCTTCCACCAGTCTCCTGCCTGCATTGGCAAAGTGGAGCCCTGTGGAGCCCTACAGCACGATGACTTCTGGATCCACAGATGACGGTCCAAAATCCTCCAAAAGAGCAGGCTCATCCAAGCATGACCCAGTCTAAGCTTACTGGGGTCTGTAGCCATGTCAGCACCACCTCGTAGAGGTGTACGCGCTTCAGTAATATGTATAACGGATCATACCACTTGAATCTGCTGGTCTGATGCATCGCTTTTCTGTTGCGTCCAGAACCATTGGGTGTGTACAGAAACAGTTGTAAGATCCTTCTGTGTTAATGCACTGGCCATCAATACAGCTGTTTGGGTCCTGACATTCATCCGTGTCTTTAAAATGGAAGGAAATGTATCAAGGAGAGCCAGCACAAAGTAGTCGCATTGTGTTAATCCATGTTTATATCTTCCTATATTAGGAGCAGATTTCTCTGCGTGCCTTTTTTTAATTACCACAAATACCAATTGCTGGCAGAAAAATCCTGCCTGTGCCCATGGAGAAGGACAGACAGATCAGCAGGATGCTGACCTCTAATCCTCAAGTCCTAGGGAGCATCTGGATGAGGAGACTTGCTGGGGGGGTTGGAGTACCAGGCATACCCCACATCCAGCACAGTTGCATCTGCTTCCCACATTCCTGTCCCTTTAGGACAGTACCAGCAGGCATTAGAGGTAGGCAGACTCTCTGAGATTCTTCATGAGCTAGTCAGGAGAAGGGATCACTTTACCTAGCCACAGTAGTTCTATTCCTTAGTTTGTCTGGGAGAGTAAAAGTAGAAATTTAGCTCAAAGGGAAGAGCAGGCCATTTTACTTCAAATAAATTACATTAAATCAGCAAAAACCCCACCCTTTGTAAAGAACAATCACAGAATCCCAAGGTGAAAGGTTGCAAAAATTGCAGTTGCAAAAATTACTTCCTTTCATTATGCTATGCTGGATATTATATATGGTTTTCTGCTTACAGAGCAAAAGTCAGGGTTACAGTTACGAGTAATTTTCAGTTGAATACCAGTACCAAAGGAGTACAGGGTTGTGCAGACTAAAATTATCTTATCAATGACCTGAACTGCGATTTCACGTTGCATATTAACTCCTTGTGGAAAATCACTGTCCTTGAAAAAAAAATCTGCGCTAATTTGATTTATTAGAGTAAAACCAGCACACTTACCAAATGAAAGGTGAACTGCAACATGCAGGCTTTCACTGCTCACTCCACGTACAAAGAACAGAAAGCTAAATTGAACCTTGGCAGAGTGAAGCAGCAGCGTGCGTGTAAGGAGGGAGCCACCTCCACTCATTTTGTGCTGCCTGCATAAAGGCTGGTAACAGCTCTAGGCTCTGCACTCCAGGGAGCGCAAGAGGCTGTTCTGGAGATGCAAACTCCTGGGAGCAATTTGCTGAAAAAGGAAGCCAAAAAAGCAAACCCCGCTCTACATGCCATTGCCATGTCAGCCAGAATTGCTGCCCAGCCAAGCAGAAGGGAAGGGAAACGACCCAATGACTCTTAAAAAGCTGCTACAGGAGTTCAGAGGCCCAGCGTTCCTCCCCTTGCTGGGAATACCGCAGTTCTGATGGGAATCCTGCCGTATGAGTCTGCTTGTTTTGCCCATCTGCATACCATTATAGTGACAAGACCACTTTAAATAAACTTACCAAAGCACTGGAGCTTAACAGGGTCGTAGTATGTGCCTTGTTTGCAGTAGCACTCGTAACCTGGCTGTGTATTCAAACAGAAGCCATTTTTACAGATTTCTTGTCCAAAGAGTTGGCATTCATCAGCATCTGGGGAGAAAACATTAACGGCTGTGTTACCAGAATTCTTATGAGGCCACGCAGAGGAGCAAGATGGAATAAAGCCTATAACACTTTTTTTGTTCAAGCAAACTTCACTTTACACAGAGGGCCCCAGGAGCACAGGTATCCTCAGGAAAAACAAAACAAAACAAAACAAAAACCAAACAACAAACTGGTGTGGAAGAGGCTGTGGTGTGCTTGTAGCCAGAATGGGAAAGGGAAAACTGGTGGACCATGACTTTCCCTTGTCAGAATAAGTCCTGTGGCACACAGAGGCTGGAAGAATCTGCAGCTCCCCTTTCTTTCCTTTGATACAACATTCCTCTTAGCTCCAAGCAAAACAGATGAAGAATATGGCCTGTATTTTCCAGTATAATTTGCTTTACACAAGGGATTCCCACCATGGATCTAATTTCATCACACCATCTAATTACAAAACTAACTAAGCGGTTATGTGTATGAATGGACTTTGTCACTGCTCTCCTCTCTCCACAGTTTGGTGACTCTACTGTGCATGGTAGGGAATCTTCATATCCACACTGCTTGCGACTTTGTTTTTAAACTGATATGCACAACTTCTGTGGAGACTTCCCACCATTTAAGAATAATTGTGTATGTTGCCAAATACAAGGCTGCAACTACTACAGACCTAGTGACAGCTGACAAAGAGAATCCACCGCACTTTCAAATGGGGCTAAATGTTTTCAGGGAGGTTTCATGGAAAATATATGCCAGGTCATACACAGCTTTTCACAGTTGCACACATTTTTTCCCAGTCTTGTATTTATGCATTTGTTACTGTTGGAATTCCATTAACTTCCTTTTTTCCAAGCTACTTGTCATTTGCTAGACCTGTTAGCTTTAACAGACCTATTAGTCTGTTAAAGCTAGGCTGTTATTAAAAATGGCAATAAAAAGCACAATGTAAAGCAGGTGATTCTCATCTTAACACCAACTGTCATAATCCACTGTCTTCTACAGATTTACTCCCCATTTACTCTGGGGAAACACAGATTTTAGCCCAAAGCTGTCATTTTCAACTGTACAACAATTTCAAAGATAAATTATTCAAATACTTACTTTTTCCAGAAGAACTGAAAGTACTATAAAGCTATTTATTTTTACAACTGCTCTTCCAGCCACCAAGTGGCTTCAAACATTAAATATTTTAAGTTTGACTGTTTAGTAGCAAGGACAATGCAAAGATTAATAAGAAATGTCATGTACATGTCTGTCTTTTTCCTGTGGAACATGAATTTGTGTACGTGGAAAAATGGGAAAACCTGGGAGCAGAGTCAAGGAAGGCTAGCTGAGTATATTAACTTCTGACAGATAATTCCAATTAAGAAAATAGGAGTTGCTCCTACAAGCAGAAGCTTGTGGACAAAAGCAACAGGAACATACGAGTTAGTGTAACAGAGAAAGATCACATTACTAAAGTAGTTATCCATTTATTGTTTGTTCTTTGTGCCATTCCTAAGGTTGTTACAAAATAAACTTATTGAAAACAGAAGTAGTCTTATTATGGCAAGGATCTGTGGAAGATATTTCCAGATGAACTATTTCCACACTCCAATATTTATGGCAGCTCGAGATATCATCAACCCTGAGGTAGCACAACAAAAAAAGTGCAGATTTTCTCCGAGACACATTTGGACGTACTGTACACACAGCATGTCCCAAATGTGCCTCGCAAAGATAGACAGAAATCTTGGATCTAGAAAGATGAACACCATGCTTAAACAATCCCCGAATAAAAATACTCTCAGAGAGTATTAGGTCCTTTAAGATGAGCTCTGTGACAGTGTTCTGACTTGGCTAGATGTAAATTGTCAGTCTGTCCAACACTGGTCCCTGCTACCATCATTCTCAGGTCTGGATTCATCCCATGGCACTTTGTTCTTTCCTCCAAGGTGGCAGACAAAGTAACACCTCCAGAGAGTGGAGATTTTCTGTGAGTTACCCCATTTAAATGCCCACAGGAGTTGGAATGAATCTTGGTATTAGTGCCTTATAATCCTTAGTATCTTTCCCATGTCTCACGCACTTGCCAGGTGCAGCGAAACATCTGCTGACGATAACACAAAAAGATATGAATAGGACAGAGAACTGAACTCAACCATGGCCTACTATCTAACTTGATAGGAAAACCAACCTAGTAGTGTCCTAGTCAGTGAGGAAGAATAGTTTGAAAAAGTGCATGTGAAAATCTTTAGGAAAAAAAACCAAGAATCTTTTAAGTCTCACCAATTTTTGTCACCTCCCAGAATTAGGTCTGACTGATTAGTGATTTAGCTAGAGGCAACTCCGACAAATGCTTATCCACCAACCATGTGATACCATGCCTCTATTAAGGTCTTTAAAAAATAATGATTTTTACTGCATTTTATAGGAGAGGAACACACAGTACTTTCTAAATTTAGTTCTTGATTTGTAAAACAGCAATTCCAATAGGAACAAATATATAATATGTGCGTGCTTTTCTAAAGACTCTATAGCTGCTATGTAACCCAAAGATAATACATTGACTTCATTTTATGTGTTTATGCCAAGTAAAATTAATGTCACAAATTATTAATATTGATGCCTGCTTCTGAAACTTGAAAAGGAATTTCACTGATCTCACTCTTCCTTCTTAGCGATGCCAACTCCCTCCTGCCCACACCCACAAACCCCTTCCTGTCACTCACATTTCTCTACAATCTTTTGTTTAATACTTATTTCATGAAGTTCTGTAATGAAAACATCATTGCTGAACTTCCTTCGGTTTTTATATTCATTCTCACTTGTAACTCTATTGTCTAACAGAACTTTTTTCCTCTCTCCAAGTCCCCATACATTTATTTACCAATTTCAGGTGGCTTTGTATTTCATATGTACATGAGTATTTGAGGTTTGTGGTCTCAGCACCTACTCTCACAGTATATAGCACTTAGTATAAATTAAACCAGAATATTGCAGAGATTATATATACAGAGACTGTATAATTGACATTCTTAACAATCTGTCAAATTATGATATTCAGTAATATTTCATATCACAAGCTGTTTTCATCACCTAATAAAATTTGAATTAGTATGTTTACATTGTTATCTCACATTTCTAGTCAATCAACTAACAGAACTTCTGAAATAAACTTAATACAAGTTAGTACTGACCTTTGTAATTCTGAGCAAGAAGCCCGTAAGATGAATCTCCAGAGGGAATGAAACCTTTTCCTTCAGGACACAAATCAGTAAATTCAGCTAGGAAAGAGAGAAAACAAAAAATTATGTCATTATAAAAGTGTTACTCACATATATACGTATTACATATGTGCTTCAGGGTATTTTGAGAAATCTGAGGCAATGTTTGGCTTACTCACATCTATCAGGCAATCATGCACACCTTCAGCTAAATGGGGGATGCTAATGCTACAGCCTGACCTTCCCCTGCTCTCAGTTTGCAGAGCTAGCTTTGAAACACTTAGCTAGGGTACCCACAGCATCACAGAGCTCCATGCAAACTATTTTCTCTTACTCCTTGGCAGGAGAATGGAGTCCTTACTGGGTCTCCTGGTGCAATGCAGTTATAACAATACCAGTAGCCAAATTATCTTGATTAAAACTAGCATGGGCCTCTCTGAGCTGCAACCTACATACCCCAACTGAGATACAAACCCCTTCCCACATTCTTCAGTCCTTATACAGGAAAAACACTAATTAACTGCAACAGGAGAACATGGTGTGCATTACAGAGGGAAATTTAAATTTAAAGTGCCTTGGAGACTATACAGAAAAGAATAAACCTATCCAAGCAGAGGGGCTCTTTTTCTAATGCATTTCATTTTAGTTTCACTGATCTAAAGTATAGTTAAAACAGGAATTAAACATGATGATACATTTGTGTGTAAAGTAATCTTTAGTGCTTAAACTCAAAAAGTTTACACATGTTCTCTCTTATGTGATTTTTTCCAGCTGGATTCTGAATTTCAGCCATCATCACTGTTTATGTTTCAAGTACTGTTTTCAATATTTGTGACAAATATCCTATGGCTTCGTTTTTGTAATTTAATATTTAGAGGTTAAACAACAGGCTGCAGACAACATGATTAACTGAACTGTTCACTAAGTAGCAAAATGTAAAACTAATATAATAATTTATATCAGTAATTTGTAGTACTGTAGAAACAACATTATAAAGAATAGCTGTAGACTCTAAAACACTGTAGTGCTTACCTTTGTTTTCCAGCTTGTGGGAAAAATCTAACATGTTACCATAGCATCTGGAAAAAGCTTCTGTGAGAATCCATTTTTATTTAAAATCAGTTGGAGATAATGCTGTTCAGTAACAGGCTGTTTTTATTCCCAGGGTAACTGCAGTGAATCCAATGGAATTACACCAGGTACAAATTATTCCTATTAACTTTTCCTCTGTGGAAGTCTCCCATGGGCAAGTTATGACTCAATACTACAGAATATAGGATTTAATGGGCAAGCCTTCTCTAAAGGCAAAGTGCACTAATGTGAACACCAACACAATGCTTCAAAAGTTTGCAAAGGGACAGAAGGTCTCCTCTTACCAGTTCCAAAGACAGGGCATGGGAAGATTTCACAGTTATCGCCCCAGCCAGCACCCAAGGTACAGCAGCATTCTTGTTTGGTTACATTGGACGTAAGCACATTGTCACAGAAATTGGCATCGTTCAGATTGTAGTAGCACTCCTTCTTTCCATCTTCATGTTGATCAGCCTCTATGGGTAATTCTGAAGGCGAAAAGAAAACATAAACCACATAAGATGACATGTGAAATGAATCAGTTTTACAGGAGAATCAGAAGAGCCACAGTACCTGAATTTCACCACAGTGAAGAGCAGCATTGTCAAGTAGGGAAGAAAATGGTTAAGTACCAATTTTGGGTTAACTTTTTTGTTCTTGGGAAGAATGATGGAAGTTGATAACCTTCTTTTTTCAGACTTTTAAAAAACTTTTTAACAGGACTTTTTCAGACCTGTTTGCCAAATTGGACATGAGGGGATTCTCCACATTTGCACTTTTCATTTTTAAGCAATGCATGAACCACCTGCTCTCACACTCAGCTACCTAATGACCATGCCCAACTCCTGACATAGTGTTTTTCACCTATGAATCTGGAAGCTCTTCACAGAGATGAGCAAACACTACAAACTAATTTGACAGATAAAGGAGCTAAGGCACAAACTGAAAAGGCCTGATTTTCAAAAGAATAAACATTTCCAGCCTCTTTTAATTTCTTGGAAAAAAAAGCACGTTCCACACTTGAATACAAGGCCCTTTATGATTTTTGCAAAAGTAACTGACAGACGCCACGGTAAGCAGAGGAATATAATGCAGATGTCAAGTTAACTGACTCTGTGCTTTACTTTAAAAAAGGCTTTACTTTAGAATAGGCATCCAGCCAAGAAGTCAGATTTTTCTGCCTTCAGCAGTTGAGTGGGTCCTCTCACAATGTTTATAAGGAATGGAGGCAAAATAATCTCTCCCATAGATCCAATAAAATACCCTATTAATAGTCAAAGACCTTTCTAAAGCAAGGCACTCCGAAAGTACACCAAGGAGTGAGTTTGAAAATACCTAGTTAAAGACTCTATGTTTGCAGAACTTTGTCTGTCTAACCTTGCACTTCCAGAAAAATCTAATCAAAATAGCTCAGAAGCGGGAACTATCACATGAAACTGTTATTTACACTTGACCAATATGGAAAACTTTTCATAGGCCACCCATAAAGTAACTGAGTTCTAAAATTACAAATGGTCATGTTTGTTAATCAAATACAAAACTTTGTTCAGGAGCTTACATAAATCTTGAGGTGACTAGTTTATTTCCTTTTTATCTTGGGAAATTCTTTACACTTCACATTTAACAAATGTTTAATTCACAAAACCTACTAAAATTATTGCATTTTGGCTGATTTGCCATTGTTTGAGATTTCTTTCATTTCTACTCAGGCTCTCATGCCAAGCATGAGGCATTTATCAAGCAACATACATATCCAGGTGGGAAACAAAACCTTATTTTACACCTGAGTGACAATGCATTTCAAAACACTAGAAGATTAGTAAGACCCAAAGAGTTGTCGTGTATAAACTACCTTTGCTTGCCTTGCAGTTCTTTTCAAGAAGGAGCTTAAGGCTGGCCTGCTTATAAGTGTTGCTATACTTGGGGTAGTCAAGTTCACTTGACCACCTCATCTGTCTGCCTCTGTCTGCCTCTTGGAGGTAGGTCAAGCTCAGCTTCTTTGTGCCAGTTACAGGATGGAATTTCTTCTAATCCCATCCACTTAAAAAATAATGGTTGTGAGGGGGCATCTTGAAGATAGTGATTGTCCAACAAGTGCTGAAGGAATTAAATTAACTCCAGCTCTTGTTACCTCAAGCCTGTTATCCCTGCCTGCCCACATTCCCCCAGGAAGATGGGGCAAGGCAACTTTACTGAGCATGTAAATACCAGATGTGTTTTGAGAAAAGCAGGTTTAAAAATGCCAGTATGGACTGCCTGTTACTGCACTTCAGTAGTATGAATGTAATAGTTCTTTTGGTTTCTACAATTGGATTTATTTTGATTTTCCTCAGAAAAGTGACTGTGTTTTGGGAGGTTGAGGGGCAGGCAGACACCTCTTCAAATTTAGTACAATGTTGCCACCTACAAGGCAAACTATCCTTTGCTGTTCCGCCAATATAACTGAGTTGTACATTAAAGGAAACACCCAGCCGAGCACTTATTTCATCTGTGGTAGTTTAGCCTGTGGTCTCCCCTCCTCAGACAATTACAATTTTCCATAATGTGCTGAATTTCATAAAGTGCGGTGGTTTTGCGGTATCAGCTGCTATCCAATAGGAACTACGTTAAGACTATCATGTGTCACAGAAATGCAACTGAACTAAATCTGTTATTCCAAGGTGAGAGAGTAGTACTTCAGCCACCAAATGATACATTTTTCTTGGCCCTTTGCCATCAAACTGAATCCAATCCAAATCTTCAACACAAGAAAAAGCACGGCAGTTTTCACGTTGTTTACCAGAGCAAGAATGCCAGAAGCTGCCCCAGGAGGAAGGGGAGACAGTCCCATCATGTCATTGTTTATTCCCTTTTTACATATGATGTGTTGGTTTCTCCTCCCATTATCTGTTCAGCAGCTTAAAAGTCTGTTGTTTACACAGCTGTGACTGAGAGTTAGTCAAGCAGGCATCATGAATGTTTGGAAACCAAATGAGACACAAATCTTTTATTTTTTTTTTTTTTTTTTTTAAACAGGACCAGTCTGTGTCTACAAGCTTATAATTCTCTCTCATACATTATTAACCATTCAGTAAGCAGGTTGATTTTGAAAGTGGTTTCACTAGGTTGACAATATGTGATAGGAAAGGGATACTTTTTTTTTTTTTGTATCATTCTTGTTTCAGGTTTTTTGTTGTTAGAAAATGTAAAATATCTCTCTACCTACGGCCTGCTGGTAAAGGAACATCATTTTATCAGGTTGTTGATATGATTGTGCCATTAACAGCCTGTAAGAAAGATTCGGTACAGTTTCTGCTAGATTGAACTCTGAAGTATTTTTTATAAATAGATTTACATACCTTAGTGTAACCTTGATCCAACAATATGCTTCAGCATGTGTTTGACGCAAAAATGTGCATTAGTAATATAGGATTCAGTGGATAATCAGGATATTAGCATATGCTTAGACCTCAGAATACACTTAAATACTTGCCTAAATAGTGGCCTATTAACAACTATGATCTGAAAAAATACAAAACATATAGAACTGATGGGATCTTAAATACTGCACCTGTGCACAGGTGGAATCACTAAGGTGGTTGCTAAAGTGAAAAATCATCATTACAAGTTCATGACTTTAAAACCACAGCAAAGAATCTGGTGACTCTGAACAAACAACTGTAGTAACACACATTTGCAGAACCTGATTTTTGAAAAGACAGTAAAAATAGATTGGTATGTGCCTATCATCATGGTGTACTTGTTTAGATTTCTCAATCGGCTCCACATGTGGCAAGCTTCAACACCTAACGTGTGTGTGTGCAGTGTATGTGCGTATACCTGCATATGTACAATTCAGGGATCAGTGCAAGTGATGCACATTTGAAAATGATATCTAAAGACTATGTTCATAGATGACTGAAATTCAGATAATTATTTACCTTAGAAAACTATGCACATATTGCCATACAAAAAATAATACAAATATGAAGAGTTGCCTTGTAAGTCTTAACATTTAGAAAGCCCTTAAACTTTAGGAAATTTATAATTCGTACTCAGGCACTAAATTTCTAGCCTTGAGGAAGCTTCCAGATCAGATTTATAAACTATTACTTGGCAGCCTCAATTTTTTTGTGTAGTGGTTGTTTAGCTGCAGGGGGATTGATTTTGTTCTAATACAAATCAGTCTAGGAGGGACTCGTGTTTGGACACCAAAACTGTGATTTTTACTTGTAAATCCTAGTAAATACTCTTAAATATCTTGCCATTAGTAACTGGTGGGCCCTGGTACCTTAGTGGAGTTCTCTTACTGGAATTCTTTTCCTTGGCTGAGGTGTAAAACACACACACACACACACACACACTAAGACACACACACCTTTGTTTGCAATTCTCATTTTAAATCATACCTAGTATAATCCTCAAATATATACTATCCTTTATAGCATCTGGATTCAATGCAATGAGATATATTAGCAAAATATTAGTAATTTACATGCATACTAGAATATGTATTTTTTCTTATGTAGAAACAATTAAAACCATGCTAATTACTCAAATGCCCTTCAGCTTGGTACTTGCTACAAATTCATCAAAAATGGCTTCATATATCTTGTTAAAAGAATAAATGATAAGACTTTAACTGGGCATTTTTTTCTCTCTTAGGTACAAAGATGTATAACAACAAAGTTTCATCTACTACAAAGGAGAGTTCTTTCCTCCTTGATCTTTTCTTCCTTCTGAAGCATTTGCTACATTCTGTGAATGGCAGGGAAGAGGGGAGGGGAATAAGACAATCAAACATTGCACAATTACTTTTTTTAATTACTTTTTTTTGTTTGTTTGTTGCTGGAACGTGACAATATGGGCTGGAATTCCCGATACATACACTGAGAGGATTGTTTCAGGACACACCTAACAATAGCTGTAGAAATAGAATTTCCACCAAGTGAAATCTAAATAGAAGGAAGTCTCGAGAGCCCTAGTAGCAAGTAAAGTGTGAACACACAGCATTCCACAAAGCTAACAGCCTTTAACCACATGCAAAAAAGTTCCCAAATTAATGTAAAGTTTGGGCAATCTTCATCTATCTGCACTTGATACAAGGTGGACAAACACTCCTTTATGCACAAAAATACAAAATGAGAAAAAAGTAAAAGTTGAATAAACCACACTGAACTATAGATATCTGCAACAGGATAATGCAGATTAAATTCTTCATTTCTGAAAATAGGCATGGTGCAAGCTAATGCTGACAGATGATGTCCACATGCACCATAGGGGCTCTCAAAGCACCGCGCATGACTTGAGTATGGGGCCTGTCAAAGCCAGAGGATGTGTGGCTACTCCATCGCTCTTTGCAGGGAGACAGCATGCTATTCCCATCTGATCATGCTGCAGCTGGTCTCGGAAGATTCTGAAGTACTCATCACTGGACAAACCAACATAGTTGTTATTTGCTCATCCTGCAGTGAGCACGTGGGGCTTATGCCACTTACAAATGAGGAAGAAAAGATTGGTTTTGTTCCCTCCTCAGCTGACAAGCTGTACAAGGGCCACCCATTGGTTCCCAGAACAAAATGGGAACATACAAAGTGAGTGGATGTAGAAGAATTAAGTGTGTATTGTCAGCTCCTGAAATATCAAATCCTGAGGTATGTGGGGCAGTGTCACTGCTTGACTGGTCAGTCTCTGAGGTCTTGAGAAACAGAAGCCAACTGATAAGAGAAACAAAAAAACCCAGCAAGGCTGCAGGAGGTACAGGAAAGCAAGAATCCTTTCTAAGAAGAACTAACAACAGTACTTTCCTCCTTTTACTTTGGAAGAAAATTAAGAGAATAAATAGTAAAATCTCTGTTCCTAGTACTGCCACTTTTCCTCATTCTAGTTCAAGAGCATATGGTGTAAAGTACGTCTCACTGAGTCCTATTTTGCATATCTTCTGGTCTCCTATGTGAGCTCTTCCTCCTTGATAACCTTACCAGAGAAGAGACAAAGGTGAAGCACATGTTTTGTTACAGCCCGATGAAAGCTGGAGGGGGAAGGAATCATGGCTTCTGTCCAAACCGATCACAGTAAAGCTATGTTCACCAGTGACAACAAAATGGAGTCAGTACTGCCAGTAGAGTATTCATCTGTTGACAGTACAATCAGCCACACTGGGCTTTTCATCCCCTCCCTCCCCACAGTAACATTTGGGTATGTCCTTGAATGCTCCTTGGACTTTACTTCTTACTTCTTTTTACATGAGCTCAGGACCTCTGCTAATTTATTTAGCTTTGGTTTTGTTTTGACAAATAGTTAAATTCTCCCAAGCACTATCTCCTCACACTACCAAAATGAAGATGGCATTAGCATCTCCTGCAAATCTTGATAATATGATTTAAACACTCTTCTTCCATAAATTCATGGAAGAATTTTAAATGCTGTTACTTCAGTTCTTATCAGCAGGTATTTAAGCTAATCTGCTCCACGGTGGAAGGGTACTGCAGTATTTTTCCTTGCAACTAGGAATGGAGGCAGTACCACTGGGCATTGCTCTGCTGCCTCAGCCCTCTTTTTTTCATTCCTTCTTCATAAAACAAGCTCCTGTAAGCCCGAGTCTTTCTCACAAGATTTTGCAATGGTTTCAGTTTGTCAATCAGCTGTTAATGATATTTCACAGGCAACTTCTTGAGTGCTGCTGAGTGCTGCATTCAGTGATCTGAATACTTGTTGCAATTAGGTCACAGATATTTCAACCTTGTTTACAAGTCTGAAAGACCATGAGTGATAAGAGAAAACTGCCACAGCCTTGTAGGCTGTAGAGTCTGCATCCTGGCACTAGAGCCAGTTATTCTAAAGCTTTCCGGAAGCTAGATCAGCCTGTAGTGTAAGAACAAAAGAATGCAGAAAAATACTAAGATTTGCATTCTGGAGGGGAAAAAAATGCTGTGCAGGTAAATCCCTTAACTATTTGTACTCTGTTGCTCCTTATTGTGGGCTTGTTCCTTTCTCCAAACTGGATCAGTGTAGAAATGTGGAGGCAACTTTTAAGAGTTCTAAACTAATTTGTAATGAGCATATTTCCAGTAGTATTTGGAATTCCCAAAACACCTGATAACAAAAGATCACAAATCCAATACAATGGACTATTAGGAAACACAGGACAAAAGATGGAGTAAAACAGGCAAGGGCACTGACCTGGTTTTGGCTGGGATAGAGCTAATTTTCTTCTTAGTAGCTAGAATAGTGCTGTGTTTTGGTTTCAGCCTGGGATTTGGTATGAGAAGAATGTTGATAATATACTGATGTTTTTAGTTGTTGCTAAGAAATCAAGGACTTTCCAACTTCCCATATTTTGATAGTCTGCAGGTGCAGAAGAAGCTGAGGGAAGTGTATCCAGCTCAACAGATCAAACTGACATTTGGATATGCCAATGGGATAATCCATATAATATAATGTCATGTTCAGTATATAAATGAGGGCTGGCTGAAAAACTCGCTCCCTTCTGGGACTGCAGTTTCAGGATTTTCTCTCCTCTGAGATCACTAGCTGGGAACAGGCTGGGCATTGGTCAGCAGGCGGTCAGCAATTGCACTGTGCATCACTCGTTTGTATATTCTGTTATTATCATTATTATAATAATAATTATTTTAAATTTTATTTTATTTCAATTATTAAGTTGTTCTTACCTCAACCTATGAGTCTCCTTACCTTCACTTCTCCAATTCTCTCTCTTATTCTCTGAGGCGGGGCAGAGTGGTCAAGCAGCTGTGTGGTGTTTGGCTGCCAGCCACCATAAACCACAACAGGCAATCAAAAGGGCACTCAGATTGACAACAATTCAGTGTTTTGGGTTTTTTTTGCTTTCCCAACTACCTTTTCTGAAGACTTAAGTTACTACTAGATAATGCTAAGACGATACAGCTATATACAAATTTTGGTTTTAATCATATGCTCCCTTTAACATTGTCCACACATACTAGTGGATGCTTGTAAAAATCTGAACAAAAAATAAAATCACTCAGGCCATAGCCTTGATTCCATATCAAATGTCATTGTTACAGTACAGCAAACGAGATTGTTTACTCTTAACTGCTGTAACTGTTCATTATTACTCACAAGTCCATTGATGTATAAAATTTAGAAGGTGTTTCTACTATATTTTCACTCACTGGTAAAGTATTCCATCCTTGAAACACCTCTTCTCATGCACACACTTTCAGCAAGACAGAGTTATAAACTTTTCTGTTCTACTTGAAGCAACACCAGCATTTAAACCAACTTTACCTTTCCATTGGTTACATATGCAGTGGAAATCAAGCCAAGCATGCAAAAATCTGCTGGCATTTTACCTGGTGAGGTACGGAAGCGACACTGTCCGGTCATTGGATCATACTCCTGGTTTTCATCAGAGCACAGGCACAGAAAAGAACCATCAACATTTTCACAGAGGGCTTCGCCACATACTCCACTCAGCATTTCACATTCATTCACATCTGGGGAAAAAATCCAAAACATAAATCAATTCAGACCCATTACTGACAGTTTGTTCTTTTATCTGCTGTATCTGTGCCAATACTGTCTGCCAGATTACAGTTGTAATCTCTGGGGAAGGATTAAAAACTCACTAATACCTAAGTGGATTCATAAACAAGTAGTCAGTCCTTTGAAATAAAGGCCCCTGAAAGCCACAGTACAGTTTATAGACTGTTCATGCTGATTAGGTGCTGCTTGTAGACCAGAACATTGGCTTTCATTTTTTTTCAGGTTTTTTAAAATTTCTTTCTCATTTTTAAATACTTGCTCTTCTTTGTACCCTTTTCTTGCGATTTAAGATTCAGACTAATTTCATTTGTTTTCTTAACTTTATCGAACTTCCACTGAACTCAAGGAGAAAAATGAGTAGGTTTTGGTGCAGTTCAGACTGCACTATGAAAAGAGAATTCCCCAGCCCCACTGCCACCAAATGCCTCTTGTATGATGGCCTCACAGGCTGCTCTGGATCCCACAAGGGTTATGTCCAGAAAAAAAAACTGCTGAACACTGCAAATTTCTGCTCCCCAAAAAACCCCACATATTTTTAACTTGGATTCCATATACCTGCTAACTAGTATACCCTGAAAGGTGTATTTGATTGATGGGAGGGTTGTCTGCTGTTTAAGCAACGGGTTACCAAATACTGACAGGATCACTTAACTTTACTCTCTTTTCAGTTGCTAAAGTTTATGTTTGAAAATCTACTTTGTCTACTAATGACAGAATCTGAAAATTATAATTTGTGTATCACAATTCAGAAATTTCTATAATTGAGCGTGGTCTAAAGTATAACTTGTAAGGCAATGTTTTATCCTTTTTCCCTCTTATCCAGCAATAATGAAATTCTAATCATACGAATGAATGTTGATTTTTGTCTATTTTTATATACATAGGCATTCTAACTTATGGTTTGCTCAGCACTTTTAAAATGTACTTAGATTTTTCTTTCTCTTTTTGCCGTATTCCTGTCATAAGGAGTAAATCTTGGGGGAGCGTTGCCTGGCCAGGAACTAGAGAGACTTACCTTTTCCTAAAATTGTTTTGGTAGATAACTGGCATCAAAATTTGTAAGAGTATTTTATATTATATAGTGTATACAAGAAAAAAAAAAAAAAAGACAGACATTATTTTTTGGTGCAGAATCAATTAACTGCCAACTCAAAACTAAATTTAGTTTCACACCAGCTTTTGCTTTCCTTTTTTTTTTTTCTTTGTTTCTTTGCTTCATTTGTTTTCATCCTTGAAAAGTCACTGTATGCAAAAATATACATTAGTGTGTTGCAAACTAAGTGCCAAATGGCATAAAGAATTTTGTAATAAAACTGTTTAATATAGTAGAAAACACATACAAACACTTCTGTAAAACTTCTAACTCCTCCCCTCTGTTCAGTATCCCATTTAGGCCTCTGTTCCTGGTAAATGTGTTTCATTCCGAGTCTGGCTTGAAGAAATTGCTTAATGAATACCTTTCCTTGATCTGGTGTTAATTTTATATTAGAAACTTGTGCTGTCTCAGATGGTTCTCAGGTCCAACCATCACTATTAACAGATCTGGAAACCTATTACTCACAAGAGAAATGTGCAGTATTTACACATCTACAAAAATCTCACATCTTTTCATGGTGATTGGTGTCTTTCCTGGAGCTCGAAGCCAATGCTAAAATCTGTTCAAATACACTGTGCCCAGGGAGGTGTGCCATCTAACGCAGACTGGCTGTACCACATCCCAGACGTTATTTCCTGTAGAGGGTAGTACAGAGTCCCGGTTATTCAGCTAAGAAACTAAGCAGATGTTGCATTTAAATAGGCTAAAGAATTAAATTCAATCTATTATGATTTATATTTCTGAATGGTCCTGATGTGCAGAAATAGTGGGTTTTCTTGGGGGTTTTTTTTAAGAGATAAAATGAATGGTTCAGCATATTTGCTGTTAGTTTCCATTCAGTCTTAATAACAGGTTCTCATTAAATGGATACACAGTTAAGTTTCCATCTGGCACTAAGTTCAGTGAGTAAAGCACAGCTCAACCTTATTTTGCTAGTAAGTGGTACAACTTTAACAAAACATGACAGAAAACAAAAATGCTCTTGTGAGGAAATGCATTTGCTCCTATGCCCCTTTTTGCTCACTAGAACCTTGCAGGAATGACTACTTGCACCTAAGAACTCACCCGTACACCCTCGCCCATCCTGTGAGTCCTGATACCCTTGGTAACAGAGGCAGCGGTAGGAGCCATCCATATTTTCACAGAACCCGTGACTGCCACATATTGTGCCGTTTGCACATTCATCAACATCTGCAAGGAAGAATTTTAACATCAGACAGGCTGTGTGACAGTCAAAGGCAGATTATTTGTGAAGAGTGCAGAAAAACAACAGACAGGGCATTTTTGCAAACAGATGCAGCGATGTCCCTCTATACATTGGGAAAGAAAACACAAAGAACAAGACACAAAAATTTAATGTAAGCACATGTACAATTCAAGAAATAGTTTCAGTGGTAACTTCATATGGAATTATCTTATGTCAGAAAACCATTTTGGTCAACCATCTCCCATCTGTTTCATCAAATCTGTCAATTGTGGCATGATGCTACGTACCACAGAGTAAGACATAGTTTAAATATGACCACCTCTCTGACTGACTCACAGATTCTGACTGTGTAGCGTTATACAGTCAACAATGTGTGAAATCGAACCCACTGTGCCTTTATGAAGAGTTGCAGGGTACGGTTGCATCCGTTACGCAGAGGTACTACACAGATCTCATTGTGGCTCTCAGCACAGACTAGAATTTCATGGTGTAGGTGTAAGTGGTAAACATCTGTGGACTGAGCCTTCTGACTTCAATCCTGTAAGTTTACACATATGAATAATCTTACTCAGGCAGGCAAAGTAATTACAATGCCTGCATGCTTTCTGTACACCAGCCCTTGCATTTGTAGTTCCCATTTGTGGATTGCTGGCCTTACAAGAGTCACTTGTATGAGTAAGTCTGTTCTTTGACTCAGCTGCCCCTCAAACTATAATGAAGCAGAGCTGCTTGTGGTGGAATGTGGTTTATTTTTGTAAGTATATTACAAGTGCTAGGTATGTATTATTTTTATCTTCACTCAAAGTAAGACCTAAACCCAAGGCCCTGACCATCTGTGGTCATTAAAGATACCATGGTGTGTTTTTCAGGAGGAAGAACATTAACTGAAACTGGGAACCTGCCAGGATGGTAGGATTAGAACCTCCTGCCTTCTAAATGCCTCTGCAGTTTGAAGCAGAGAAATTATTGCTATATTTCTTTCCTAGACACCATTATGACTGTTAAGTAAGGTTGATATCTGCTTGGAATTACCTTCCGCACTGTGCCTCAGGGGTAATTACATTTTAAATGGTGAATAAAGTGATTAGCTTTTGATTTATCTGGGTACTAGCTACTATCGTTAATTCTACACATTAGAGTAAACCTTCACGTGATGGAGACTACCATCATTCTACCTCCAGTGAAGGCCTTAGGCAGTCCCTGAACTATAGAACTGCTGGGACTGAATCCTGCATTGCCATAGAGAGAGGGTTTCTTTGAACCAAGCACTGCTGCTTGGTGTCTTTCTGAAAGGAGACAGTAGGGCTCAAACATAGTCCTGTCTCGTCCTGCAGCTCTTCACAGCTGTGTCAAACAAAGGCCTAGAAAAGTCAGTGAAAATGCACCTGGTTCTTCTCCTGGCAGTGCTCACCGAGCAAAGGACATTTTTACTTTTAAATTGTGTCTTACACTCAGCTGAAAGGGAATTCTTGGTCTTTGAACATAGCTGTGTCACAACTCCCCAGGCTATCCAAATTTGAGCAGCACATCATTACCATCCACACAGGTTACCTGTTGTACTGCCCTCTTGCTCCCCAAGTGCCCAAATGCACTTGGGGAGCAAGTGCATTTGTCTGCCTCAAGGAGAGGCTTTTTTAGGATCTTGAAAACAAGCTTTTCCTATGACCTGAAGTTGGGGTTTGAACATGTTTAGAATTGCATATAGAGTTTTAAGGCCAGAAGATACTATCCACAACCTCTTAAATAGCTTAAAAAACTGTTACTGGCAATTTCTGTACATACAGAGTAAACTGTGGAATTTTAACATCTTTTTTGGAAAGGCATTTAATTTCACTTTAGGATGTTTAAGTGACAGAAAACTCACCTCTTCTCGTACTGAACTGATGCACTGGTTAACAACCTTCAGCTAAAATACCAAATTCATGCAAAAACTATATGTACTACATACACCAAAACCTAGGAGACATCTATGAGTAAAACCGATAATTATAAAAAAAGTACTTGCAGGTGGGACTGGCAGAATAATTTATTTGGTTTGTTGGTTTTGTCAGTAAAGGTTTTAATGATCTTTTATGTCTTGATTTATTAAACAAAGGAAAAATATTGAAGGAATTTATCTTAGGGTTATTTGTATTTGTCAAAGAATACAATAGCTAGTATTCTTATTCTCAAGGAACTGACCATGAAAATTTGGGTGGTTTCTGCATACTGAACTTATTCAAATCTACCACAAACCCTGCCTTTAATTAATTAATTCATCAACAAAAGTAAGCAACATACCTGTATTAAAGACACTGGCAAAGGTGAAAGGTCAAGTATTACCTTTGATACCCTTTACTTTTCCAGTCACCATAATGACAGAATTTTAAAAAGATGCATATGAAGATATTAGGAGGAAGAAGATATAAATTCTTTACGGCTGTGTTTTTCTGGTCCCTCCCTCTTGCTGCTGTGCACTATACCTGCATAACGTGTCTTATTTAAATATTTAGTCTTATGTGATCATCAGAGTTTCACATAGCTGGTCAAAAAGTCTGAATACTCTATCTCTTATTCAGAAAACCCTGCTAAGAAAAATTGAGAAAAGGAATTCAAAAAGAGTAAACAATGGTGGATTAACAGCCAGGAATTCAAGACAAGAGACAATAACAGTGTTTGTATTTTCAGTGGCCAACTATAATCACAAAAGTTCCTGAGCCATAGGACAGTTACTCTGTTAAAAGCCTAGACAGAAGAAACTGAAACTGGGGATTTTAGAATTACCTTAATTACAGTATTTCTATTACTTAATAGCTAAATGTTAAAGGAAACAGGGGAATGGATCACGCATCTGGTTCTCCAAAGGTAAACTAAGGTAATTGACTAAAAAGCTGCAGAAACAAAACGTGATTGTAGCAAGTGTCCTAATTTAGTATATAATACCGCCACAGAAGATGGTTTTGTTTTTAAAAAGTACACAGTCTGAACATGACTGGATCTTTCAGTGTTTGGGAAATTACAGAGAAGGTCCAAGCACCAAATATTTTTCCTTGTCTAGACAGCTCACTCAAAGGACTCCTGTTTTACAGCCGGAAAGGGCATTTGTTTCTTTAATCACCCCGTAAAGCATGAGGCTTGTAATCGGTGAGTCTCTTGCTATATGGATACAAAGCAAGGGGAAAAACTAAATATAAAACTAATATATCCTATGTCTGTACAGTGACTAAAGCAGTTCTCTGTAATTACAACCTGGTTTAGAATCCATGACTCAGTGCTGCCTGCTTTATTTAAAAAGCCTTTGATCTCACATCATCAGGATTTAAAGAAAGGCGAAACATGTGCATTCAAGCAGACTCCCATTCAGCTCAACAACATGTTCCTGTCTTCTGCCAACCTGAGCAAGATGAAGGCACGCTTAACCCCAGGCGTGATACTTAAATCTCACTGAAATCTGCTTACATTGCAAAATGCCTGGAAGAGGAATTGTTTCCTATGACAGTTTTGTACACTGCTTAAGGGAACAGAGCTCTGATTCTGAGACTTCCAGGTACTGCCCATAACACCCATACATAAAAATCACTGTCATGAGAAAATTAGAAAAATGAATATTTGAATAAAGACTTTGGCCATCTAGAAGCAACCATGCTGGATGGTCATTTCAACATTGCAATGATGTGGGCAAGAAAGAGATTTTTGTTTTCCCTTTGTGTTCTTACTTCTCTAGCCAGCATCAAAGTAACTAGTTGATGCCCTAAAACATCTCTATCAGCAAAAGTGAAAAGGCTGGTGAAGTCTGTGAAACCCTCATTTCACTCATTGTGACACAAGAAGGGATGCATACTTGAATCTATGTTTGGTAGAAGCCTGAGCTTTCTTACTCCGGTATTTACCCTGAGATTTGGTGAAGCTGTGAAGTTTTCTAGAGCATAAAATTTACTCGCTGCAACAAATAATGCTCTGCCCTAAAAGGAGTCCTAGATTTACCATACCCTTTTCCTAAAGCTGCCTTATCTTCCCTTTATATGGGCAGAATTATGGTTGTGATGTGCAGTTACAGCAAACCTCTCTTAAAATGTCTTTGGTGGCAGAGGTAACAGTTATGCACTGTTCACAGCTCTGCTCTTTGTTTCCCTGATTTTCAGACTTCCTAGGTTTACAGTCATCTTAAATGATGGACAGCATAGTATCTTTATGTACAGATTTGTAAATTATTCTTTGATCACAGAACGATCTGTGGATGCTCGGTGTAAGCGTCCAAAAGGCTCAGTTGGGTGACTTATTCAGCGGACAAGGAAAGGAGAACAGGATACAAGACACAAAGTGAGGGGAAAGGAAAAAACAGAGATCAGAGAGCTGTGGTGGGATGTGTAAGTTTTTTTGGAGTGCCTGTTGAGGCAGGCAGTGAAGCTCAGGGCTTGGAGCAGAGAGAGGGAAAAGTGAGGGAGCCACTGAGAGACATACGGGATCGGACATGGAGGCAGGAGATTCACTTGGGGCAGGGTATTGCCTTAAGCCTCACAGAACCTCTAACCTGAGCTTTTGCCAACACAGTTGACAGCACCCAACTGGGTAAGACACTGCCTTTGGAGAAACCCCAGAGAGCTTGACAGGGAGCTAGGGAGCGCTTCGAGAGCCTCCTGCTCGGAGAGCCTGGCGCAGCCGAATGGCTGAGCCTGGGGCCAGATGGCAGTGGAATGTCACCACTACAACAAAAGTTTTTCTACACCTTGGAAGAAGACACAGTCTCCACAGCTGTTCAGTTTACTTTGGCCAATGCCCATAAAAACTCCATACCAGAACTGAACCACATGGGGTTCTTAAATGTTTTATGTTGTTGTTTCTGACTTTTCAAAAAAATGAGTCAAACTCATACAAAAACAGTCTGGAGATATGGAAAAATCTGCTCCCCAGGTACAGACTGGGGTCTGAATCCAGTAAAATTTCCTCAGGTTCTTTCTCTGATGGTATAAACAGTTATTCTCACTCACTTAACTAGAAGTAAATTCACAGAGGCACCTAGTGTAAAGAACAGTAGCTCCTGCCGCTGGAAGCCACATCCTTCCTCAGTACCTGGAATATCACACATTCCTTTTGTTTCTGATCCTTTTGTTTTGTCTTGCCTTTTCAAAGGAAGCTGACACCACTACAAATACTAACACTAATGCCATCAGTGCTCCCTTCAAACGAGTTTTTTAAACTCAGAATTGTTTTTATTAAAATGACAGAATGGAGAAACTAATCATGGTAGAAAAGGAGTGCTGCTGCTTCAGAAGACTAGAAGTACCCTTGCTTCGCCAAGTTATTAGAATACTTTTCCAAGTGCTGAATATAAAGTCTGATCTGTATTCCATACACACCACCAACTACTTGTGAAGCACGCTCAACTGCTTTTGTACTTGTTGTTTTATTCTTCATTAAAAAGTTCCAAAACTACTCACAATCCTGGAAATAAGATCTTGTGATTTCATCTTTTTCTGTTTAGTAAAAGTTTGGCTTTTTTGTTCTAATGGAGATTAACTTTGTACTACTTCATCATACGTGATGGTAACCCTTCCCTGGGAACTGTGCTACATTATTTACTGTCAGAGATGCAGACAGAGGGGCTCATTGTTTCTGGTACATCCCCTAAAATTAGATGCCACTGACTTTTATTTTTAAATTGTGGTTCTATTCAGTTCTGCCTTTTTTCATTTCTGAGAGTTAGATTTCACAAGGTTCTTCTAACTCTGGTTTGGAATAAAGTGTTTGGTTTCTACTAAGAGCAGGCTGCATTCTTCTCTGACCACTTTTTTTTTTTTTTTTTTTTAAGCTATGCTCAGCAGTGAGGCAAAACACCTGCTACTACTTTTCTTGCAGAGAAATTGAAGATATTTAACCATATCCTTCCTAAACACTGGGTGAAAAGTATACATGCTGCCAAAAGAGTCCATAAACATGCACTGGAATTATCCCCATTACCTGAAATCACAAAATACTGCCTTGTTCATCAACCACTGGAGTTTTTCAGATTTGCTCTCCCTAGCCTACTTGACCAAACTTTTGTCTTGGCAGTAAGAGAATGTTTCTTTTAACTTACACCATGATTACAAACTAAAGTAAATGTTTAGAGAGGAAAAAGCACTAAAAATACTGCAGGACTGATTATTTTTTTTTTTTTTAGTTATCAATAATAATTAAAACACAAATAGTGCGTTCAATGTCATGCTATATCTAAATATATAGCACTTATTCCTTTACATCAGTATAATAGTATTCTTGCCAGTAGAGTATTTAATTTCATATGATATTACATTACTAACTATATGGCAAGTTATATGCCAGCTCAAATAATAATGCTGTAATGCTGTTTTTCCTCTGGTAAAAGTAGGGGGAGGAAATGCAACAGTCATTTCATGCAACAGAAGTTTCCATACACCTCCTCCACTGAAGGAAGAACCTTTTCTTCATCCAATTGGGGGAATTTTTATTTTATGTCAGCATCAATGGCTACACAAAGCCACATATCGTCTTGGTACCATTAAGCACAAGTCTCCTATTTCAAATTCAGTGCAGGACAGCAGTATCACTAGCAGGTGTGTGTATCCCATTAGCAACAGGATATATTCTCATGCTATAACCAATTAAAAACCCTAGTTACACCTAAATTCTAGGCTCCTGGTTGATTTTTCTCACCAGTGCTATTACTGGGGCAGCTTTTACAACTTGATATGAATAATATCTGTATAAGCATACCTGCATATGTTTATGAAGAATAAGCTGGCTTTAGCACTGTAAAGATCTAATTACTGATATTTACACCATTTCTGCCATTTCAAAATACCTGAAGTTCTATCATAAACAGCATTTTACTACAATTTCTCACTGGTATTACTTCTGTTGTACGATGCTTCATCTGCATCTTTTTTAAAGTCTTGACAAGTAAGGTTCTGTTGTCTCACACACAGCAATGAGAACATTCAGGCTTGCTGCTAATGCACTTGCAAAGCTTTAAATTAAATGATCCTAAATATTTATGGCAGGAAGGTCTTACCCACTGAAATTTATCAGAAGCCTGAGTTCCAAACTCATTTTACATGTATTTTATATATATTTATTTATTCCTTCCATCTTTGCTATAACATAGAAATAATTTCTCATCTATTAATAGACTTCTGTATTATTACACATGTCTATGGGTTCCATGTATCTTAACATAAGAATATAATTCTGTCCTTTGCCATACTTAGGTTAGCATTCCTTCTTTTTCACTAATTTCCTTTGCTCAAAAAATATAATCCAATGTTAAGATAGCAAAATTATTAAAAATCAAGAAAAGTAAAACACAACTTGTAACAAACTAACTCAATTATGTTGCTCATTTTATACATTTACTGTTATACTTTTTATGATTCAAACAGCAACATAGCACACTGTGCATTTATGAGAAAAAGAACAGGCCCTTAGGTGGCAGACTGCAGAATTAATAGTGAGTTTGGGATTTTAGACCCAAATTGACTACTTTTCTCACCCAACTAATAAGAGCAAATCAATGGGAATGCATTCTTGTAACTTGTCTCACCTTCACATGTTCGGCCATCTGCAGACACAGAAAAACCTCGCTCACATATGCACTGGTAGGAACCATCCGTGTTTAGACACTCCCCGTGAGGGGAACAGAGGTCAGATCTCTCACATTCATTGATATCTGAAAATACAGAGACATTAAGAGCTTTGCAAATCATCATACCCTTACTATTAAGCCTACATTCAATTAATCTTAAAAGCAGCTTTTATTTTCATCAGCTATGTAAACAGCTATATAAACAGGCTCATTTTCCAAGTAACCAAATCTTCTGGTATCATTCTTAAACTCTGTATATGCATCCGTATGTTCTGCTGCATCATGCTCTCACTATATCACTCTCTGCGATGAGGATGAGCAGATGAGAGTGATTTGTGAGACGGGAGTATAAGCTCCATAGTAGCCAACATTTCTTCTGCATTAGGGAAATCCTCAGATGGCTCCATCTCACTGCTTTTTGACGGCTGCATGCTGGTCCACTTGTACATCTGGCTCCATGTGTTACCAGCAGGTCCAGAGTTGCATCTTTTCCAGCAGGCTGATTTTACATAATTTAAAGCCAAATGCTCTTTTTTTGCTGATGGGGAATGGGAATGGTCCCAAAAGGTTGCTATATAAGAGACTGTCATCATTGCCTTTTTTTTTTCTTTTTTTCTTTTTTTTTTAAAAAAACCAACTTAGCATTTTTCAAACACTGCCTTTCAAATTTGTGAATCTGAAAAACAAGCATTTCTTTCTGACTGGTGTCTCATCTTAACAACAAAACCTGCCATCAGAACTTAAGGACTGCAGTCATTAATTCAGGAGGTACCACTTTCACATAAATTATTCACATTGTAACTGCACTTTTGTATTTTCCTTTACAAAAACCTATTAAGAAGTTTTCAGTATCATGCTGAGATCAAACACAAATTTACAAACAAAATTTAGACACATGGCTTATTCATCCATCATCACAGATATTAGAATTTCTTATTCTTAACTGTGTCTTTTGTTGCTTAGATTCTGGCTATTGTTACAGCCATACAAAATGCATCAAGTGATTTTGATAGATTAGAAAAATTAGGATTTCAATATCATAATCTCAAGACCCTTAACAGCCATTATAGAATTTTCTTTAGATACAAACTGATTCTGTCCTGTGTGTAAACATTCGAGGCCAGTGTCTTGAAGTCATGGCACATATGCGGAAAGAACAGAGGCAGCTCAGGGAAGGGGAGGATCTGTATGAGGTGCACAGGGCAAAGTTAGTGCACTGCACTTCATGCAACACCTACATGTATGCAGTTTTCTCTGAATTCACAGTAAACGCAGACCAATGACATACTTCGTGAAGCTCTCTGAAAGTCAGGAGACCAGCAATGACAAGGACAGTACGGTACCTTCTCAGGACCGACACTGCTCTCAAGACCAAGCTGTCAGTTTCTTAAAACTGACAGAAAAATACTGGAAACCAAACCAGCTGATTACATAAGGTAGAATGATGTATTAAAAGACAGGAAAACAAAATTAACATTGTTAGGGAAATCAACTCTAATTTGTCTGAAATTGGAAACTACACATTTTCTAATGTTTTGGACTCTTTTCAACTTTGCTCCTTACCAAAATGCATGTTCCTAATTTCTAGTCTAGTCTAGATTCAACTTGCAGACACTGCATTCTGTGATAAATTGGCTAGTTTAATTCAATAGCTCTCTACTTTCAATTATGGTTTTCTTTTAACATAATAAGGCTACGATCAAGTCACCTCACCTTCCCCCCCCAACAAAATGAGCAGTTTAAAAGCATTCAATCCTTTTTCCCCCAGGCCATCATCTTTTTTGGGTCCATCTCTGACTCTCCTCAGCTGCACAGCATCCATTTTGAATTGTGGGCACCAAAATGTACAACAATGTGCCAAGAGCAGTTGTATTTGTGAAAAATAGAGGTAAACAAACCTTGCTTACTCCTGCTGCATATTATGATTTTTTTCAATCTTCTGGGGAGTGCATTAGTCCTACTGGCCACAGGGTTGCACTGGAAGCTCATATTCAGCTGAGTGTCTCTGACCCCTAAATCCTTCTCAGTAACTGTGCCCCAGAAGGAAGTCCATTATCAATCAAGCACGACAGAGTCCTTCTTCAATATAGAACTGGATATATTGAAATGCATATTGTTTGTTCATACCCAGTATACTGTGTGATCAAGATCACTCTGCAAGTGGCGTATTATTTTACCATGCCCCTAATATCTCCAGGTAAAGTCTCTCAAAAATTGTATGTTCTTTCTTGTTATTACAGAACTCTGTTAGAAATAACTTTCAGTCATTTAAAAATATCTCAGTTTAGCTGCTGCTTTTGAAGGTACTGTTGAAATATAAAGAAGTCATCATTTATGATATGAGTACGGCTAGATTTGTCCAGTACAAAATACTGGACAAGAAAATATACTGAAGATTTTTATCTTTGACAAATAAAAATTCTACTATTGCAACTGGTAGCAGTTTAACAACAAGTAGTCAACACAGTAAAAAAAAAAACTCTAACCATACTTAATTCTGCTAGCCAAAGATCTCCTTTTATGTTCTTTCACTGTATCCAGTTCTTTGCTATTCTAACTTGTTAGTATTCATTGTATCAACTCCTCCTTCATTCCATTTGTTTTGATATTGATCTGGCTATTTCTCAAGCAGTTTTACTCCTGTCTGCAGTAAGGTATTATTTTTCAGCATTGGTGGTCTTCTTTCTGAAGTGTGGTGTTCTTACCTGAAATCATTTCCAATTTTCATTCATATTTTTCAGTTAAAAATACTGTCTATACTGTCTGTCCCTTAGTTGGGTCATAAGTGCGTTCAGTTTTTTTATATTCATCCATTTAAAACATGAATTCTATATACTACTGCTTTACATAGTGGAGTGAATGGTATCAAAGCTGGCACTGATATATAGCTTGTGCTCAATACTCTTTTATTTGCTAAAGCAAGGTCTAATACAGCACTTCCATATGTTGAATGCAACATTTTCTGAATTAGAAAGCAGTCACATAGAATACCCAGAACTTTTATAGGGACTTTACTGTTGGTTGCACAGGATCCTCAACACAGATCAGCTGGAATACAGTCTCGCAGCTGAAGTCTAAACTGCACAGCAAAAGCAAAGTCCAGTCTCCTGGTCCTCCAGTCATTTAGAGCACAAACATGCTATCACTTTCCAGCTCTAATACCATGGTTTTCATCTCATAAAAACAGATGGCAAAAGGGACTCATGATGCATGCCTGGGTGTTGTGCCAACATGCAGCTGGGATGGTTCAGAACTAAAACCTGGGAAGTATTTTTCTGGGTTTGGCAATGCTGACTCAGCCTCAGGTAACACATTCTCTTCCTCCCCACCCATCCTCCACAAAGCACCACAAGTGTTTTAGAGGTGAGAGAGGGTTATCTATTATGACTTGACGCTAACTGTACTCCTCTTTCTGTTACATCACTGATTCACCAGCATAGGAAGTTCTGTGAAAATAAATGTTTCCAGAATTTTGGAAAATGCAGCACTGTACCTCTGTTAATTCGAATACTGATTCTCTTTGAAGTTATGAAGGCTGAGGTTTCAGACTCTTGAAATAATTTCTCAGCATGTATTTACAGAGAGCAATATAAAACAAGAAGAGCAAGAAAGCACTATAAATGATAAATAAAATGAGCTTCTCTTCCTTAGCATGATTGGTGACTATCATAAGTTATGCCTACAGACTTGTACACTTATAATAATGATCCAGGCATTTTTTATAGCTATTTCATACCTTGACATCCCCTATTTGCTATCTGCTGGAAACCATCTGGACAAGTGCATTTGTAAGACCCATCAGTATTGATGCAGTTTCCTCCAAGGCAAGTATCACTGTCTCGAAGACATTCATCAACATCTGAAATAAAAATGTAACTGAATTATTAAATGATGCAGAAACTGATAAAACTTTTAATAGAGATACTTTGATACTAATGTAGCAACTTGAAGCTACCATGCCCTTTAACAACTGTGTGCATGTGTGGAAATCAAGTTTACTACACTTCATGATGTCCTTTTAATTTCTTCTTCATCATATCATCAAACTTCTTGTATTTCTAGAGAGTTTTAAAATTTGAGTTTGTATGTAATTTGTTCCTAGTTCATTCCCGTCTAACATGTGCCATCTGCATCTCATGAAAGCTATCATACCAGATCTTTATACCACTTCTTACCCTACTAGAAGGGTTACTGCGGTACAGTAATGCAGTTAAAAACAAATTCAAGCAGTTGTACATTTAGAAGACAGACACAAAAAATGCCTACTAATGCAAATTTCTGGTTTGCAATATGCACCTTTGGACATGTTTAGACAGAGATCCCTGAGCCAGAAGTGACTTGACTCAGACGTCATCCAGACCACGGGCAAGCCCAAGCACAGCTGGTGTATCACAGAATGGTCGGGATTGGAAGGGACCTCTGGAGATCATCTAGTCCAACCCCCCTGCCAAAGCACGTTCACCTAGAGTAAGTTGCTCAGGACAGCATCCAGGCGGGTTTTGAATACCTCCAGAGAAGGAGACTCCACAACCTCCCTGGGCAGCAGTTCCAGTGCTCTGGCACCCTCACAGTAAGGAAGCTTTTCCTCATGTTTAAGCAGAACCTCCTGTGTTCCAGCTTGTGCCCGTTGCCATCACTGGCCACCACTGAAAGGACTCTGGCCCCATCCTCTTGACACCCGCCCTATATTTATCAACATTAATAAGGTCTCCTCTCAGTCTTCTCTTCTCCAGGCTAAGCAGACCCAGCTCTCTCAGTCTTCCCTCACAAGAAAGATGCTCCAGCCCCTTAATCATCTTTATGGCCCTCCGCTGGACTCTCTCCAGAAGTTCCCTATCTCTCTTGAACTGAGGGGCCCAGAACTGGACACAGTACCACAGATACAGCCTCACCAGGGCAGAGTAGAGGGGGAGGAGAACCTCCCTCGACCTGCTGGTCACTCTCTTCTTAATGCACCCAGACAAGACATGCCTGTGGAGACTACTCACAAAACCACCATGTGGACAGGAGGTTTGTAGGACAGGGACCACACTGTGAGCACTGCTTTGCTAACTGACTTTTTCATGCAGTTCATGTGATGCAATACAGCCATTTTGCAGGCGTAGCAGTTTGGTCACAAAGCTGAACAGCTGCTTTTGCACAGTGCTGCACCCAAGCCATAAATCGAGCTCTAGAGTCAGGGCATGCAGGTCTAGCTCCCAGCTGCCTACACACCAGGTTCCCAGCATCAAGCCTCAGGCCTGTAGACCCTGCCCTAGTGTCTTGATGTGCATGGGATAAACATGCTGACTGACAAGTTTCAGGATACAAACTAGATACAAAGGAATCAAATATTTCAAGAACAGGACACTGGCATTGTCCTACCTAAAGTCTTTTCTTCCTGTTGTCTTTCAAAGGGCTTAAAGGCAGCACAAGGGAGAAAACAGAGCACAGCTACTGTGAGTATAGGATTAATTCAGCAAGTGCTTACATTCCAGTTATATTATTTTGCTTCACTACAGCTAAAGATCAAAAGGTATTTGATGACTGCGCCTCTAAGTTTTAAAAGCAAACAGAAAATCAGAGAGTCAAATAAAACAAGCATCTCACAAGCAACTTTCCCCTGCCTCCACAGTGCCCTACCTCATAAGTCACTGAGTCTATTGCTCTGATAATGCAGATAGTTTCCTTTGAAAAACAGTTATCAAAGACTTTTTCCACTGCCTTTGATTATTCTGATTTCTTAAGCATGGATTTTAGCTGATTAGAATTGTAACTTTTTCCTGTGCTGCAGGAATGAATAACAACTGTAATTAAAAAAGAGGACATGACCTCATTTCTACACATATCTCTGGAAAACCCACACTATATCAAAGTGCAACTACCCTTGGGATTTAATCTATTTGATAAAAATAAGAAATAGGAATAGCTTTCTTACATAAATGAATGTTACTGCAGATAAAACCGCACTTAGTGCTGACAAAGTTGTGACCTTCTGATAACCACATGTTTTATAATAATTTTCAACTGAGAAATAAATTGTGGTTTATGTAAAACAGCAATTAATTTTGACTAGGAGCATGAGAAAAAATTAACGACTCCCTTGCGCTGAGTTAATGCCAAGTCTCACAACAAGGCGGCGTCTTCTGCCAAATTCAGTCAAAATGCATCATTTTCCATATAGAATACAAGCCTCCCTTTCTCCGATGCAACTCTTCACAGGTCCTATGGTTGCTGCACAAGAACCTCCAGAAAAATCCGAGACAGTAACTCATGCTTGAGACATTCAGTACTTTTTACTGCCCTTTACACATGCATGTCTAGAACATTTTGGCTAACAAGATCTCTGAAGGCTCCTAGGAGAACACTGGAGCCTCCTCTGCTTCAGACTCTTCCAGTAACCTGAGTTCTTTGAGATGTACAGTCTATATTTAAGTCCAGCTGGTGCATATTCATGCTTCCTCTCAGTTGAGACAAGGCCACAGGTTCACTCACACTTTCTGTTCCCTCATATTCAGAGCAACACAGAGCAGAAAGTCTCAAGAACAAGATGCTGAATGAGAGAGTAAGGCAGAAAGAAAATAAACATGCATGTGGTCATGCAAGACCTCTGATTACTAGAAAGCAACCTCTTTTTCTGTCTTCAAGTGGAGGGTTGTGTATACATCTCACCTGTGGATGGTCATGTACTTCCAGGTTACTAATGTCCCAGCAGACCATAACAAGTCTCTACTGGTACTGCACAAGGGAAAAGTTCTTCAGCCTTGGATAACAGGGCATACAGGGATTTACAAAAGGAATGGACATATGGACTATTGCTCTCAAGATAGAACTGAAGGTATGAAGGCCTTATTTTCTCAAGAGTTCAGCGCAAGGATGCATACAGAATATGTATACTGCATGTATGCACCAATGTATAGAACAATTATTTGCAAATTACCATTATTCTTAAACAAGTGAAATACTGTGCAAAGACTTCCAGACAAAAACTACTGCCAGAGAGTTGCAAAAAGAACAGCTGAAAATGAGCGCAGCATCAGTCTGCCAAATTCTGCAATATCCCCAGAAGTTTGCACAAGTGTATAACGATCGAACCAGCAAACTGCTTCTTGAACTGCTACTTTTTTAAGAAAACTTCTGAAGTAGAAGAAATCCTTATTAAATAAACAAGCACATTTCTTGCAAGTGACTTGGCAATCACATCAGCTTTATAGTCGGATACATTTTTGGGTATCCTCTGATGTGACAAATGTCCATCCCTGAGTCTTTGAGAAACTGGACAGAATTTGAACCACTCTCTTTTCACACAACCGTGTGTGATAGTTTCACTAGGCTATACCCACAGCTTTTGTCATCCCTTTCCTGCTTTCTCTATGAAGTGTTAGAAAACTTTAAGGTAAACAGGCTAATCCAAAAATCAGAGGCCATCATGTGAAGAAACATTGGTTGTCTTCTCAAGATGATTTTCTCTTTATGGAAGCTCTGCCCTGTAGTCCATGCACACATCTGGCTGAACTAACAGTCAGCAGGAAAGTCATTTTCATGAAGATGGGAACATGGCTGAGAGGCTGAGGACCTCCGCTGATATGAAAAGAATCTGAGATTTAAACCTGTAATCAACAGAGTTCTCTAAATGTGCACTGAATACTTCAAGGAGCCTTCAAAAATAACTACATTACAAGGTGAGGAAAAGCAAGAGAGATGAATGTCTAGCAGATAAAGCAGTTGCACAAAGCATTCTTACTGACAGCAGAACAAGCATAGTCTGTTCAAACTTAAGTTTTCAAGGTGCAAAAGCTGTTCATAATATCCTATACTTCAGAAAATATTGAAGGGATATAATGAAAGCACAGAAGAATTACTTCCACTTCAAGAGATGAATACATTTTGTGTAGGATTTGTAATATTTATAAAAATCTTCGGTGAACAAACTGTCTCTACAGAAATTAACTGCTCTGTCACTGCATGGAGAACCTGAAGATATGGTTACAGACTGTTGCAAACGAGACAAAGACCCTGGGGTCAGGGAGCAGTTTTATCTTGTTTCTTTGTATGCTCCAATCCCTCTTCTTTTGCCTTGAGAGCTTCTGAAATTATTTTTTCTTGAAAATTGCCCTTGAACAGGATCAAGGAAGAGATGAAGATAAAGCACGGACCTGTCCTGACAAATCATTGCATAGTGACAGAGAGCAGCAATAGTTACCATGACTTCTTGGGCTATATGAAATGCACCAAAGTAGACTCAAGAGAAGTTCTAGAAAACATTTGGTCCTCAACTACAATGGATTACAATTTATTTCTATATTTCATTTGCTCTTCTTCACTACAAGGTGGTTTAACTCACCATTTCATATGCTCCCACATGCTAACGACATTTACTAATTCAAATTCTCTCTCTGTAGACTTGGTGGTTTGTAAGGCTTCTTGCTGGGGGAACCAAAATGCTTGAAACGTACCATGTCAGGCAGTATAGTCAATGATAGAGAAGGGGGAGGGAGTAGCTTTGAAATAATTCATTAGAAAAATCTTCCCATTACTGGACAATTAAATAGTTCTACTTTGAGAGGTAACAGGATGTTTCTGTTTTCTATAACACAGCATTTCTCCCTACATTTACTGTACATCTTTCACCTCTTATTTTTGTATTTACAAGCTCAGCATTCTGAGACACACACAGCATTTCTCCCTACATTCCCTACATTTACTGTACATCTTTCACCTCTTATTTTTGTATTTACAAGCTCAGCATTCTGAGACAGTGAAAGCTGTGAGCTCCAGCAGATCCCCCTGGAGCTCATCCTGTACTACATATTTTCTGCTGCCAGTGCACATGTGGGATTGTGGTAGTTGGCTACAGGTTCCCAAAACCAGCTGGAGACGAAGTTTTAACTTAGCAGGCCCCCATGTGAATAGTGTATGCTGGCAGAAGCTTTTGTAATACAGAACCTCTGTGTCAGAATTTGAGCAACAAGGTTTGGAAAGGCTTCATTGTTTTTGGTAACAATGTCAACTGCTCTTCCAGTCTTACTGTTGGAAACACATGTGCTGATTTCTTGTATGTGGAAAGATGACAGGGACTATTTCTCAGAATCCATTAAATATGTGGCTGTGTAGGTGGGGACTGTTGAATGGCTGACAGTAAACTATAAAGAAAGAGAAGCAACATATCTTTCTGCCCAATTCTGAGAAGAGCTCATGCCTATAGCTGAAATACTCAAGATCTTATTGAAAAAAGTGTCTTAAGTCCACAAGATTACCTTCACATTGATCTCCAGTAGATGATAATGTGTAGCCTTGGCTACAAATACATCTGAAAGATCCTTCTGTGTTCCTGCAGCGTCCATTTGTACAGAGTGATCTGTGCTGGCATTCATCTATATCTGTAGTAGAAGAGGCAGTGAAAACATAACACATCTGATAATAGCAATTACCAATCAAATGGTGCAATAACCAATTCTGAACAAATCAGCAAGGCAGAGTGTCAGTATCCAGTACTGCTTCTCTTGGTCTTATTTATTAACAAATGCAGATAGTCAATATAATGCATAAAAATATCTGAAATTGCAGATTGGATGTTTTCCTTGAGATGACTGCTTTCAGCTTTCTCTCCTGTACTGTCAATATATCCCTCAATGCACAAATGGGTACACACAGACACACAAATACACACACATGCTGCTTGAGAGCTGCTTTTGTTTCTTTTACATCTAGCAAAGGTAACAAGCTAGCCACTCCAGTGAATCAGCAAAACCCACAAAATACTTTCCAGAAGGATCATCACCTTTTAACAGGGTGTGGTTTTGAGATGCACACTGACAGGCTGTTCCCTATTAAGTTGTACCTTAAGGCTCCTTTAAATGCTTGCCTTGTAACAGTATTAATCCTCTAAGTATGGGGAAATGTCTCTTTGCTGCCACAACCACTGCTAATCCTCAGTGCTTTGGTTCTCATAAAATGGGGTCAGCCTGAGTTAACAGATGGATTTGAACATAAAACTTAAATTTTCCTATGAAAAACTCAAAATAGTGGAGGGGAGTGGCCCTTTGAATTCATAACATATGTCTTGTTTGAGCTAGGAAGCCTCCTTTCCCTCACTTATTTATAAAATACTTGTTAAGCAATAGTAATTAAATTGATACGGTGGGTTCCTAGTCACTTCTAGGATCTAGGCACAGCTGAATGTCCTTCTGAAAATATACTTCAATGCAAACAGGAGAAAATTACTCAGTGAGGTTTTCAGGTCTGTGTTATGGCTACACAGTCTGACCTCTTGAGTGACGGTTTCTTGCAACCACAGAAGTTTTGAATTTAAGGATCACTGAAATCTGTAGGGCTGCATGAAGCATCTGGGCACATGTACAGGTCCTTACTTTAAAAGGGTGCACTTTAAGAAGAACAGTCTGCACATGCCAGCTCAGCTTGGCAAGGGCCCTGCTGTTCCATGAAAGGCTCAGAGGAAGCAGTCAAACTTTGTCTACATACTTTCCCCAAGACCAGTCTGCTGTGTGTCCTGGACAGCACATTTAACTCACTCAAGACTCTTAACTTACACTGATGTTTTGTTTCAAACTTCCTGACAAATTTACATGAACGATCATTTAGTTTTACAATATTATTTTTAGCACTCAGAAGTCTGAAAGTGTTTTGTGCTACACACAGACACTTAGGGAAGGGTGAGGGGAAGGGAAGAGAAGAAAAACCAACATCTGACAAGAAATGTTCTGTTTTCTGTGTGCTTCTACAGCTTGGAGACATTCTTCCAGATTTTCACCTCTGGGGAGAGGTTTCAACAAGTCCCCCCCTCATAAGGAGAGGGATATTCATACCTCCTGTACACACTCTAGGTTCTCTCTCAGACTACTCTGCTCTGACTTCAAACCTAATTTTGTTCCACTGGAGCAGTCCTGCTGGGAATTTTAGAGGTGGAAGAAATATAGAACCTGATACTTTGGAGGTACAGGTACTGTTCTTAGAAATACAACACCAAACTGTCTCTCTACTATAATGTACTACTTGAAATGCAGTGACACCAATGCAGGCATCAGCTCAGTGTTAACTGACCCTGCTGAGTTCCAAGAGGGTGCAGCCTGGGTTTTTGCAGAAGTTCCAATTTAGCAATATAAATATTACTACATGTTCTTGATTGGCTTTATAACAAATGTCAAAATCTACAATGTGACCATAGAAGCCATAAAATGGAAATATACATTCTTACATTTTTGGTTATTTAGCTTCAGTGTTGTACATTAGTTGTTTCTCCATTAAAAGGAATACTATTAGATGAAAAATATTATCTAAAAGGTGAGTGCAACCTTATGAAGTTTAATAATATTCTTTCATACCTTCACACTGATCCTCTGATGTAGAGAGTCTGAAACCTTGGCCACAAATACATCTGAAAGACCCCTCCATATTTTCACAACGTCCATTTGTACAGAGATTGCCATACTGACATTCATCTATATCTGTGAACGCAAAGAAAGCATAAGTGTATAATTAACTTCGGTACAACCATCTTTCAGTTGAGCTTGGGAATTTATTAAAATTCTGCCATAAGCATGGTTATATCAGTTTTCCTGTATATTTTGACCTTGTAAATTCTGCAGCAATTCTGATTTTAAAAAAAGGATTTGAACTTGAGCTGCCTTGTGCTTAAATACTTAACTATATTCAGAGCCCACGTGACTAAAACAATGCTTTCATCACAGTACTGCAAGGACTGCAGTTTAGGCTAACTAACCCTTTCCTTTCCTTTCCTTTCCTTTCCTTCCCTGCCCTTCCCTTTCCTTTCCTTTCCTTTCCTTTCCTTTCCTTTCCTTTCCTTTCCTTTCCTTTCCTTTCCTTTCCTTTCCTTTCCTTTCCTTTCCTTTCCTTTCCTTTCCTTTCCTTTCCTTTCCTTTCCTTTCCTTTCCTTTCCTTTCCTTTCCTTTCCTTTCCTTTCCTTTCCTTTCCTATAGGAATTGCACTATGAACTAACTGTGTCCACATCCTTACCCGAATAAGATTATTTTGCCCATAATTCTCCCACAGTAGCTTAAACCAGTCCAACTTTAGTATAGAGAAGAGGTCAGCAAGTGCTAGCATGTTGATCCTTGCATTACACAGATTTACTCTCAGGATATGTACCTGTGATAAAAGCACTAGCAGCTGCCAATACCTTGTAACTACAACCACTAATCCTTCTGCTATTGCAAGGAACAGTCCAGAAAAGCAGACACAGCTCATGCTGGCAAGGCTGTGTGAGAAGCTGTTCTCTCTGAAATCATTTTTAAAACATGTGTTCTGGTCAGAATCCCCCAACCTGCTGCCTTCACTAGTTTACCTGAAGCTTACGTATGGGTCTAAGGGAACAGGCAGGTCCTCTCGAAGCTAGAACAGACCTCAACCACATCTTCTGCTGTTGAGTTTTTCTTGATTTTTTTAAAGCTAGGTTGATTAATGTACAGGATTTAGAGGAGTACTCCAGTGCACAACTAAAGGCTATATGAAACACAAGTACATGTAAGACCTTCTTAGATGACATATTTCAAACAGACTTAAAGGAGGCAGGTTCTAAAGGACTCAGCTGATACCTGAAGAATTTACAGGGGATTTCTGCACTTCATGCAGGTCCCCTTGTAACGCTACTCTATATAGGCAACAAGGAACTCTATTGGCTTATACCTTCATAACAAAAGTTTTAGAAGCAAAATCTCTCTTTATGTACAGGAGGACTTGAAATAAACTTTTTTTTTTTTTTTTTCTATAAACTATCCCACAAACACCTACTTTCAGCATTCTCTGAAAGAAGGGTATTAACTAGACAGGTCACTCTCTTTAGCCAACATGAAAATGGCTACATTACTATTCAAGAATAGTTTTCAAGTATTCCTTCTGAATGCAATTTGCATAAATCAAAAAAGAAAAAAGCAAATATATAAACAAATAACATATTTTGTTACAAATGCAGCCAGCATTAATTCAGTATTCTAAAATAATCAATATTGTCTTTTTCCTAGGAGTAGTTTTCACTTAATAAAATATTAATTTTCAAAATTTATTTATTTATTTTGGAGATGGAATTAACAGCAAGTAGGTGTCCCTGTTTGTATGGAAAAAACTGTATTTTTTAGCTTCACTGATGCAGAAAAATAATTACACCTTATTTGCTTTTCTGTGCCCAAAATCACATTACTCCCAATTATCCTGTCTTTTGCCACCACAAAGCACACAAAATCTGTCAACATAAAAAAGGCAATCTACTGATTATTTGAGGCACTTGAGCTATTTAGGCAGCTGTAGCAGAGGAAGAACTGGAAAAAGATGAGAGGTCTTTAAATCATCATCATAGTTCTTATTAGCTAGTGTGAATATCTGCAGTAACTGTTTTCCTCATATATATTTATTATTCTTGGCTCTTTACAAGCTTCTGTACAATCTGACTTTGACAAAGCCCATCTCTCCCCAGGCACAAACAAAATCACCATTATGGTCCATATTTCAAATGACCTACAATTCTTGTTTCCTTACTTGAGCCTCTAACTCTGTAAATAAGATGCCTTGTTGCAGCCTGGCCAAGAACACGAAGTGGCATCCTCCCAGGAGATGACAGCACAGATCCACAGGTGCTCTGCCATGGCAGTTCAGTAGGCAATACTACTTACACTCTTCTGCAAGACTAATTTCTCAGATACCTACTGTTGCAAAATGTGCTCACTCAACAAAGCACAACCTTTGCTCTCAATGTATATGATCAATGCTCTAACTCAAGAATTTTTTAAAACAGAGAACCTAATTCAGCAGTCAGGCATGTGAATTTCCAACTAAATAACAAATCTGCTTCTTATAGATTATTTTTCATCTACTTATTTCCAAGTTATTTGACAACAAAGCCTGAAATATTATTTCTGATATCTGGATGGGACTCCAAGAGACTGTCCCACAACACCAACAGAAAAGCCAGGAACAGAACCAAAGTCTTCTGAGATGAAATCCAGAGCTGTAACTGATTCTATTGTAGCTCCCTACAGTAGGGCTGGAGGTATATACATCAGCTCTGCTGACCTCTGAAATTTTCTGATGGAGTACCTAATGCTGTACAAGCTGAATAGTGTTAGTTAACAACATAGCTGCAAAATCCACCACAGTGATAACCATGAGGGTAAAGCAGTCTAGAAAGTTTTGTCAATCAAATTTTTTTCATTTATTTGTCAATACACAGAAGTGTGCTCTAGATTCACATGCTACTTTATTAGTATTATATATCAAGATATATCACTTTATTTGAATGTGCAAATGTGGAAAAAGATGAAGAAAACCTGTGATTGCAAGTAAAGTTTAAAAAAAAATATTCCAAATAGTCCCTGCACAACACAAACACACCGAGGTACCTGGAACAGTAGTAATTTCAAGCTAATGAGGTGTCAGGGTGTGCAGGTGCCACTTTTAATTTCTTCCAATATGCATGTCACATTGGATACTCCCACCTAAACTGCAGTTAAATCTATTCTACCTAAGTCTGAAGTGAACCGATTGACTTGCCTTTATTAAACAAAAGTGGCTGGCTTTAAATCCTGGAAGATTACAATATCAATAACATCAAAGAACTGTAGAATTGTTACACTAGATTTTCTAGGGCATCAAGTACAAGCAGAGGAACGAGCAGAGTTTAAAAAAAAAATTACTGAATACAGCACTGGGGAAAACTAGAAGAGCTGTAACGGCCCTAAACTAACAGCAGAAAAATTAATTCATGGAACAATGGACTTAAATATCCTTCACAGATAACTCGGGAAATATTTTACTTTCCAGTGTATTTAAATTGTACCATATTGCAAAGCTACAGATTTAAGACAAACTCTGTCTGCATTACATTTTCTAAAATGTGTATGGCTCATTTCCAACATGACATAAGTCTAGGATAAACAGAAAATGATGACTGATCATATCACTAATGATGTGAGTGAGATGTCTAGGCTTAGAACATTTCATAAAACAAAGGAAAAAGGGAAACTACATGCAGTAATACAAGGAAAAAAAGTATCAGCAACTTGGAACCAAGACTGAGCCCTTACATTACTTAGTTTTGTTTATAAATCTAAGCAGAGCAGTGACTTCTTTTCTCCCATTCTACTCCTACTAACCTGGTTAGCAATAATAAAACAAGTAAAAGTTATGCCATGGCATTTTCAACCAGGCTATTTTTATAAATAGCTGTAGAAATCAAGCTTGATATTGTGAAAGAATGCAAAATTAAATCAACGTTACATTTTCCAAATAAGGAATTAAGTAACAGGAAACCCTTCTTAACAGAGTGCATTAGCTGCATTCTTTGCAAGTGTAGCAGGAATCCAGGCAGGTGGGAAGGAACAAAACAAAGATGAACATTAACATGTGCTAAGTGAACCACATCAGTTTGCTTTAAACATTCCATAGCTTGTTATAACTCTGTTAAAATCCATGAAATTACGTGTGAAATACATTCCTCCATAGTAAGTCAAATGCCAAGACCAAATAATGTGGCTATGACATGCTGATAAATTTTAACAGGCAGATGTTCAGACAGAAATAATTTGCTATGATATGCCTTCATTAGAAAATAAGGTGGTGGAAAAAGGTATCATCTATACAGAGAAACTGGTGGTGAGGCTCTGATAGCTACACCATACATTTTCAGGTGCTTCACTGCAACCTGCCTCTAGTCTTGCTCCACATCAAAAGCCCATTTGAGGCTGGAGCACAGTAGACACTCACTTTCCAGTGCTATTTCAACCAAAACAATGCTCTTAGATGGCTTTATGAACTGGACCAAATCATAGCAATTGGGAGTGATTAGGAAATGAGTTATGGAAGTACACGGCCAATCTGACCCACAACAACAATGCAAACACCTCCTATGTAGGTTATTAGACACCTGTTTAGGTAACATGGTTTCTCCAACAATTACAAATTATAGGGCACATGTTACACACAGAGTGGACAGGAGGATTCACAGCAGACAGCAGATCCTTCACAACTGAGGTCAAATTTAAGTTTCTGGTAGTGTCCCAGGAAGTAGCACTCAAAACTGCAAGAGATTATTTCTTTTTGCACAATGGATTCATGTGCTCTTATTGATATCTCAAACTTGGATAAAAAAAAAAAAAAAAATTGTCAAAATTATAAAGTGAGAAATCTATCCTAAAAACCTAATCTAAAGTCAGACAAGCTGCCTTAAGATGTGCTGAAAGTTTTGCTGGAAGTACAGGTAAGTTTTATTAATATACTTTTTTGTGAGTATAACTCTCAAACTCCCAAATCCTATTGAAAAGCCTGCCAGTCACACCAATGTGTTAGCACTCTCTTGTTTTTTCCATTTGTTAATACTAGCATTTCACTGAGAATACATCCACTTCAGTTCCTTATTTTCTATTTCAAGAATTTTGTTTTGTAATTATAATTGTATTGTCTGCAGTCTAGATTCAATGTACATTTATCTACGGTAAAACCTGATTTCCTCATATATACTGTGTCTGAGTACATAAAAGTAATTTTAAAAATCTTTTATTTTCAATTATTATTGAATGAAATGGGGACACAGGGCATAGTGCTGTCATCAGGTTGTAACATTGATAGCATAGGAAATACAGCCTCTCAGAACAAGAGATACAAAGAGTACTGAACATACCATGGCACTGTCCATTCCAGCCTCTGAATCCCACTCTGCAAGGGATGCATTGGTAAGAGCCAGGAGCATTAACGCACTGTGCATCTGGACATGTAGGTGGAGTCAGGCATTCATCAATGTCTTCAAAAGAGAAGATAAAAGGAAATATCAGTCAAAGCCATAACAAAACACTGAATAATAAACTAATCTAGTCATTTTGACTGTGTTGATGTTATACTAACACATTTAAAGAGTTGCATCCTTTGTCTGTTAGAGACCCAGGAAGGTACAAGTTTGCATAGATCTGTACCAGCGAAGGGGCATCTCTAAGAAATAAATTAGATCATAGTACATGCAACTGAATCTGAATTTTCTGCTATACTGTGAATCTTTGCTAGGCCCTACATAACATCAAGCAGGTCAGATTTCTGACTTAGATAGGTAAGAATAACTTTGCTTATGTCACCCCTTTACCATACTGAAGTGCCCTGAGATCCTTCCTATAGACAGACCCAAAAGACTTTGCAAGTGCATTGCAATAACAATAAATTTATAACTCTAATTTCTGAAAGCAAAGAGGAATTTTGTATTCTCCTGTGTCCTAGAGTTATATAGCATTTAAGAATTATGTGGACTGTAAATTTAATTGTGTGCATGGTAATCAAAGATGTTTACAGGGAGTAGGGAGTTAATTATGTCTGAAAGAAAGCACATGCAACACACACATCACTGAAGCTGGCAAGGATTAGGGTGACAGAGGGACTTGTTGTATAAGGAGAGGTCCTAGTTTACCCATGACAAAACAAGAAACAGGTCCTGAAAAACTCATGGATCTCATGTCCAGGCCCTGAGCATCTATCAAGAACTTCTTATCCTGCACCAAAGAAACCCACAATATATGCAGTCTAAAACAGACCACATATAAAAATGACTTTCAAAGACAAGTTGCTGTCAACTGACCAATGATCAGAAGATGTTGGAATTAACTGTCTGGGCTACCTCATTCCAGTCTGCTCCTATACTTGAGTATCATTTTATAATATGGTCTTTAATTACACAATAATTATAATCTTTCTTACTAAATACTTGCTTCATGCAGCGCACAGAACTAATGAAATGGTCACCTCTAAACCCAGCTTCCCAAGCTCCTGTCCCCTCCTTGCCCCAAGCTTAGTGGTTGTGTCTTCTGCAATTAAGGACTGCTACTCCTTCCCAGGTAGTAGGGAGGCAATTTACTTCTAGTTTTGCAAAAAGGGTTACAGACGGAAAGTAGCCTCCAACACTTGTAATTTAACTGGAAAATGTTCCAACCTTCAGAGAACTGAACACGCCAGCTCCAAAAAACTCACTGTATGTGGGCAAATCAAAGTTTTTCACAGAATCATGACTGTTCAGCTGAGAATACTTTCACATTAAAAAGAACCAAACAGGCCTCTTCAGCCACTACTATACTGACCTGCAACTACTTCTCAGTGAAACTGCTATGAGATTTTTTTATTTAATTAACAAAAAAATCCACTTCTGCTGAAACCTGTTCTCAGAACTGCCTGGACTGTATCTACCCTCAAAACACAAAACATAAATGACGTATTTGGTACAGAAATTTTCAGTCAAAATAAAGTCTAAATGCTGCAAAACAAGAAAATCACAATCACAAGAAAATTTTATAGGAATACTTAATCATATGCAATGATGTTCAGCTATGCCTATAATACTGTTCGACATAAACAATAGCCTCTACAACAACAACAGGTTAGGCCCATGACAGAGCTTGTGTGAGCACAGCTTGAAGGCAGAATGAAGACGGGGTGAGGAAGTGTCAGTGAACTGTGTGTATTGTGTGCAGCTTGGAGGATTCTTGCTTTTGTTTTTGAAGTGTGGAGGAGGTGGAAAGGAGTTATTTGTGGAATCTGGAATCTGTCAGTAGGGTGACTATGAAGTGTAGGTGTAATGACACGCTGAAATGATTCCCCGAATGTGTCATTTCCTTGGTTTGATGGATTTAGTGTAGGAGGATTTTTCCCTTAAGCAACCTTAAATATCTTTCAACAAAGAATTTGGTTTCAGAAATTACATATTGTTAAGTTAAATGATAAAGGACTACCACAATGCTATTTAGAATACAAGCTAATAAGAAATTTGACACACTGTGATATTCTGATTTCTAACCTATTTTAATCACTGATTCCCTACTGACAGAGAAGATTTGGAAAAAGTATTTGTAAGACTGGAGTATGTGAAACATTTATTGAAATAAAAAAAAAAAGTCTGAATAGAAAAGGAATCTTCTAGCAATGCTCAGAGCAGCAAATATATCCACAGCAGCTTTAAGTTGTTTATTTGCTAGGCAACCTAACATGTTAGCAATTTTATTCTGTTCTAAGTTACTTAGACTAAAGTATGAACAAAACTATGTTTAAAATGAAATGGGTGCCTGTGGTTTATAGTTCACATTTCAAGCTGAAAATTAAAGAAGAAAACAGAACAGCAAAAAAGGCAAAAATATCACACTGAAAAATAACATGAAGTTTTGAAGGTCAGCTGTCCTAGGATCTCCTGCAACACGAAATACTGCTAGATATATATTTCCAAATAAAAAAGAGTCAACTTATCATTTGCTACCTATTATGATATAGGAAAAATTATACTTTAAAAAAAAAAAAAACAACAAAAAACAGAAACTTGATAAAGTATGTAGGGAAGGACTAACAATGAAATTAAGAGATTCCATGGCAAGAGTTGTTAAAATAGTTGTCCTGAGATGGTTCTGTCCATAGTGGGGGAACTCCTTTGCAGCATCTTAAATCTAAATAGTAGGAATTGGATTGTGGTTCCAGACATCAAATAACTGAAAAGGCTGGAGAGTACTCAAACAGGTTTCTTGTTGAATATTGCACTCTCTGAGAAGTCTCCCTTTGCAGCTCAAGCCACAGTGCTAAGCCTCTCTTGAACAGCAGGCAACGTTCATCATTCCAAGCAGCATAGAATCATAGAATGCTGTGAGTTGGAAGGGACCACAAGGATTGTCGAGTCCAACTCTTGCCCTAGTAACATTTGTCATCATTTTTGTGATATGAATAAATGGTAACTTCACTTTATCATCCAGGACAGGCTGTAGATAAAACAAGTGATGTCCTTTTGAACATTCTGCCAGTTTCAGCTGGTGTACAGGGGGAAGTTAAAACGATCTGAAGGCAAATTAAATGAAGAAAATAACTGAGAGAAATCCAGCAGTAAGATTAAGCTAGAGAAACTATCCATGGAAATAAGCACAGAGTGGGATGGGGAAAGCAAACTCTGAACACAAATAGATATAAATTCACTGTGCCAAGATATTCCGTCTGAAATCCAATAGCAAATGGAGATTGAAGGGAACGAAAAGAAATATACTAGGTAGAAAAGCATTGAGTTAAACATGAAAAAAATCTGTGTTGAGTTATTCTAGTATTTCCATCTAATGCCCAGATTTCTTCAAAAATAAAGAAATAGATGTAAAGTTCTCTGTTGAGATCAGAAACAGCAGTCAATGCAAACAAATGGCTCTTCCTATTGCAGCTGTCTGGCTTGATAACTGTTACAGTATTACCACTGGTGAAGAATCCAAACCTACCTTCACATTCACCCCTCCTGTTCATTTGGTATCCACTATCACAATATTCACATCTGAAGGAGCCAAGAGTATTTATACAAAAGCCTTCCCCACAAGTATGAGGTCTTGAACATTCATCGAAATCTGAAGATGGAAAAGAGAAGTTAAAAGAAACTTTCCTTCACTGTGGAATTACTGAATGCTTGCATCTCCCCTAAACTCTGCTTTAATTAAACATAAATAAGTTTGTTTTTTCAAGCTGTTTGCAAGCCACAGCCCTACAGCCGTTCTTACTGAGCAGTTCCATCTTTATCTCGCTGCTTGTAATCACAGAGAGAATAAGATCCAGAAACAATCGGGCCAGGAAGCAGCCTGTGGTTGCAAACACAACATGTGTCACTGCACGTGTATTGTGCCCAAGGCAGTGCTATCCTGAGGAAGATCACAGCCACTTCAGGCTGTATTGGTCTGCAAAGCCCATGGCTGTTTGCAGCTATATTTTAAAATATGGTTTGTTACAGCTACTAGTGATTGAATATTTGCATTTTCCACCACAGAAGGTGTTTTTACTAAATGGTAATTTTCCTAAATAAGCATGATACTGAATAAATCCTTGTTTTTCAACAAATAATCATTTTGAAAAATAGTAGGAGCTACTCAGATATTTTCCTCACCATAATACCTAGTGAGACACAATTGAAAACACTTCCAGACATCAGTCCAGTACCAATGACACTGAGGAAAAAAGCTGAAAAGGGGACTTTAGGGGGTTTTAGATAAGCTTCTTAATTCATTTTTATATTTTTATTTTCTATAAAATAATTACCAACACAGTCGGTTCCATCTTCACTGGCCATGAATCCAGCTTGGCAAATACACAGGAAACTTCCTTCTGTATTTTCACAGCGTCCAAGGGAACAGAGATGGGGTGACTGATTACACTCATTAATATCTATAAAAGAAATAAAAACATAAGACTATAGACCAACATATTTAGTTATGATTCTTTTTGTGCATTCTATGCCATGCTTTTGAAAAGACTGATCTTGTAATTATTTTAACTATTTGAAAAAGTATATGCTTTTCTCTCCCTCGGGGCTACAAAAAAGATGCACTGGATAGTTTTGGGTGGAAAAAAATACTCTTATTGGCTTAGACTATAAGAATATTGCATTGGCCTGAGGAATGTGACACGATTACTATTCAAATCACTACACTGAGTGCAAGCTGAGCACACACTGCAAGCATGGAACATTAATACAATTTGGATGAAATAGGAGGATTTTAAGTTGCCATTTGGCTGTGCATGTAAATTATTTTTTAATACTGTAGTTGCACCCAATAGCATGCGTATCAGCGTGAAGTTACTGAACTTTTGGTAGCATGAAAAGCTGACAGCATATAACCTGGCAACATGGTATAATAAACCCTTTCTGATCCAATTTACAGAAGAACCAACATACTCTGAATGAAGGAAAGATACTGATACAGCTGCTTCCAAATCTGAATATGTTTGGTTCATATAGAGCCAGTCTGGGCTCTGCCTCATGTTCTTTCGAGCCCTCTGTTCCAGAACCTACTAGCTTTGAACGGGATAAAGACTTCAGTACCCGGGTCTCCTAACATACTTCTGGGATGTTTACGATATACTTTATCTTTTCAGCAGAAGGTTGAAAGGAAAGACCTAACAAAATGACTGAATTTAGTACAGCTGTTGCAGAGCTTGTAGCTGGGCAAATCACTCTGAGAAACAGGCACTAATTTGGTCATTCTTTCTCCAAACAGAAGCGTATTTCTTCCTAGCAGCCTGATGATTTTAGATACTTGATATAAAGCAGAGAAGAGATCATCTGTCTAATCACTTTTCCACTTATCTCACAATGAGAAAGGCTTTCATCCAATTTAATTAAATTAATGTTCAGTTCTGAGTGGCTGAAAGGCTGTATCAGAGACCAGCTGGCAAATTTTATTTGACATACAAAAACTAGTTTCTGTGTAGTTTGGAACCATTCAGTAGGGGAAGCAACTCCTGACTGCTCTGTAGCATACTTCCCCTGACCAGACTCTACATTTCAAGCATTTCATAGAATGGCTATTTCAGAGTTTTGAAAGCATTTATTCATACCAGAGCACTTTGTCTGCTGATCGTTAAGTTTGTACCCCTCGTAGCAGATGCAAGTGTATCCCACAGGCAAATTAACACAGTGTCCTGCTCCACAGATATCAGGATTAACTGTACATTCGTTGATTTCTAAGCAAAAAAAAAAAAAAAAGTTCAATGTTAAACTCTCCCAAATAGCTCAGTGAGTGCACAATATTCTGTAATCCTAGTAGAAAGATTAGCCCTGAAAACAACTGTAAATCAACTTTCTAATTCCTGAGTTTCCGTAATGGATATCTTATCTGGAAGAATCTAAAAACCATCTAGACTTTTCCTAGTGACATATTCTCATGTCCCATCCAAGATCTATAAATGGGTACATAAAAATAAAATAAAATGAAGATAATATAAAATAAAAATTTATATGATTTAACCTTTGCAGCAAAGGTAAAGAAAATGACTGTAGTGGGTTTCTGATTATTTTTACAGAATACTCATCTGTTAATGGCTTGGATGTATTTTGTGAGATAAGGAGATTCAGATATGGGCATGCTAAGCCCAAACAGTAATTTTGGAAATTCTCAAAGTGTTACTGCAGAAATACTAATGACTGTGTCTAGCTGCAATTCAAACTAATGCTATACAGCAGCATGAAATCATAATTCCTGAAAAAGAAGTATTCATCTGTAAAGAAGAATAATTTATCTAGATATTTAGAAATAGGTTACATTTAAATTTAACTAAATTTTAAAGTACAGAATTCAGGCACTCAAAAACATCTCAACTCTAAATGCATTCAGTTTTTAAAATCCAATTTAAGATTTTGTCCTTCTTACTTCACTTGCACTTTACTATCTATTGAATATGTGAACAACACTTGGAACTGTATCTGAATAATAGATTGATTTATTTGTTTATAGCACACAGCAATTTCTAGTTCCTGAGGAAAGAAAAAAACAGCAGAACATGGAAAACTACCATTTTTTTCTAACTGATGTGAGCTCCCAGCAGGGTAACTTGCTTGCTGTGTAAGGAAGCAGGGAGCTGGCTGGCAGAAGGGGCACAGTCACAGCAGAGCTGACTTCCAAATTCTGGTTTGACAACCACCATTAGTAGAACTTTCATATGGGTCTGATGAACTGTAATTATATGTAACTGAAGGAGGCAGCTGAATGCTTACAAGAGGACAGGATACATTCTCTACTCTTACAGTACATTCAGGAGGATTTAACTGCAGACACAATCATAGAATGGTTTGGGTTGGAAGGGACCTTTAAAGGTCATCTAGTCCAACCCTCCCTGCAGCGAGCAGGGACATCTTAAACTAGATCAGGTTGCTCAGAACCCTGTCCAACCTAACCTTGAATCATACTTCAGACTGGGTGATTGAGACCTTGTGCATGTTGCGTGCAACTCAAAAATCCATTCCTGCATGAAGGAAGGCCATCTTTGAAGAACTGAACTTTTATTAAAGCATGTGCAATTTCTCCCTGTGAATGCAAACTTCTTGGTAGGCCTAAATATCCCTACCATATGGAATATTGCATCTTAAAAGCATTTACCTGGCTATTACAATTACTTCAAAGCCTGTGTTAATTCTGAGAGACTAGCCAATGTGACATTGTAATGTTCTCAGGAACACATGTACAGACTGTCTAAAGACCTGACTCATAGCCGAGAAGTCTTCAGCTGTGGACTTTGGTTGCAGATCGTGTAATCTGAAATGGAATTATTAAATTTTTCCTTCTACCATTTATTTGTGGGCACAAAAATGGCAGATACACCCTGGGAGGGTCCAGTCTTAGCTCTGTTGACAGTACTCTCATTGCTGTGCTGTTCTGTACTTTCTGTCTCTCCCCAGAGTATTCCTTTCTGTTCCACAGCTACATTCTCTTCACTATTATAATTCAGAGGTAGTATGGAACAAGTTATAGTGTTAGGAACTCACAGTCATGTCTTAATTTATTTTAGTTCTGAAAAGGAAGTACAATACCTGTAACTTGAGTAGGTGCAATTACTTGACTTGCACTTGATGTAGAGACTTCAGGAGCAACTTCAACAGGCAGAGGAGGAGATGTTTTCTCAATCACTACTGTGGGACATGGAATGGAAATCAATCACATAAAAAAGCCCCCCACCCCTTAAAGTATGCACACACAATACTGAATGGGCCAGACACTATGGAGCTTTTAATTACTTTATTCTGCTTAGATCTGGAGTAGAAAAAACTATACTTGGATTTTCCACCAGTCTACTGCTTGTGAAAGAAACTGAGGTGCTAAAGAAAGCAAGAACAATAGCAGAAGTTACAAATAAATCTGCAAGGAGGCACCTAAGTAAAATTTCCTCTTGAAAGGGGTACAAGGCCTCAACTCTGCTGATGTTAAAATTCTCACATACGTAATCCAGGATATCACTTTAGCCTAAAATATGTCTTTGCCTCCTAACAAGCCACCCAGCCAATGCCAACATCTCAATTCCTCCCACTTCCCCCCGCCCCCATATTCTGTTCATGGAAAAATTGCTTGTGAAGCCGCAATCAATTTTCCATTAACCTCTGTTACAATTGCTGCCTTCCCATCCTTTGAAGAATTGTAAGCACTGTCTCATACTATAAGACAAGTAAAAACAAGTTACCTGGAAACTGTGGATGCAGGTTAATCGTTGAAATTCCAGGAGAAAGCTGAGGCTGCCCAGGCTCTAGATAAGGCTGCTTTTCTTGATCAAGGGAAGCTAATTCCTAAAAGAATCATTAAAAATTTGCATTCTGGAAACATTGTTTTAATTCAGCTATCATAACAAACTCCTCCAAACAAACTCCACAAGCTCCTGGTTTGAGAAACCAGCATTCTCACATGAGTGGCTTTTGATAGTAGATTGTTAATTACCACCAATTTAAGCCTGAAAGAACATGGAATACCGTCTTTACACAATGGTATACAATTTAACATTGATTTTATTTGAAGTAGCCATTTCATGAAGCTTCTAATTGTATCTTTGGTTTTGTCCCTCCATAGTTCTCCCATCCTCAGGTCTTTAATTGCTTATGAATAGTATTTAATTGCAGTTCAGCATCACATAAAAGTATACAATCACATGTCTCCAAGTCTCTGACCACTGTGAAAGGTTCTGTCTTAGCTATTGCACTGATCATCTTACGTTCATAAAAGTGTTAGATGCTTATAAGTCTTTAGGAAAATGAAATGAAGTACAGCTGCAGTTATTCCTAATGAATCCCTTTATCTTCAGCATAGAGAATCTGGAACCTCCAGAATGGGGGACTTAAAACAGATATGCACCAGCTCTTTTCCACTGAATAAACAGCAACCCTAAAATTACTAAGAAACTAATTTAGGCATTAATACAAGTCACTTAAGCATGTTTCTTTCCAACTCATTTTCTCTAGCTGTCAGCGGCTCTCCTTCATACTGTCTGCATTTTTTAATAACCTCTTTAAAATACCCTGAATGGGACAGAACAATATAGTACTACATGCTCCAGCAATGGCCTAAAGAGGTGGCCTAATCTATTTCCTGTACCTCACTACCTGCCTGTTCGTTAATAACATGAGCTCTTCTTGCCTCAAGGTTTGCCCTGTAAGTCCACAGTGAGTTGTTTGTTCCTCATAAATCCTAAATCCTTTCCAGAGTTATATCACATCTCACACACATCATCTGCACTCTAATTTCTAGGTAAATCACATCATGTTTTACCTGATCAGGGGCTGCAGTTGCCACTAAAACCAGAAAGAAAAAAGAAAATCAATCAGTCTTCATATAACATTTATTTGCACATTCTATTTAAAACTACTAGCACATTTGAAAGTGGTTGTTGCCATTGCAGAAAAATTTCAGGCTCTAACTTCATTCCAAAATGGTGCAAATTCGCAGTAGCATTCCTGAAGCAAGCACAAAAACTAACCTGAAACCAGAATAAGATTCTACACACTGAGCAATGCTTACAATTATTTACTCAGTATTCAGGTGCCTTATAGGTTTTTCAATTGTTTAATTGTTTGCTTAGAAACAGTCAAAGAAACACACAAGTTATTAACTCACTGATTAAACTTTTAAAATTCCTTCCAAGGAATATCAACATTTGTATTTATTTTAAAGGTAAATTAATACCATAATAATATATAGCTAACCATTAACAAATTTGCAAGAATTTATTGTAAAAAATCATAAAATCAAGTTTTGAAATTTGCCTTTTCTTTAAGCAAGCAAAATGGTTTAGGTTTTTTTTCCATCCACAAAGGTGACTCTTTTCTGTGAAGGAAAGGTAGAAATTTCATACTAGTTTTTATTTTCCATTGCAGTTTGCCTTTTCTGAATTTGTCTTTTACTGATGAAAATGTATATGCATCTTTAAAAAATCTGTAAGAATGTTTTTCTTTTCAAAATCAACATTTTCCATAGAATAGATTAAAAAAAAAAAAATCACTCTTCTCACTCCAGTTTCTTCAGTATTATTGAGGAGTCTGATTATCAGAACTGGGAGAACTTCTAAAAAAATCTCCAAAATTCCAAATGCAACATATCCAAAAATGGAATACAAAATTCAAACATGTCATTACTGATTTACAGTAAGCATATTTACAGTAAGTATATTTTTTAAAGTTTTTTATTTAAAAAAAATACTTTTTTTTCCAGATTTACTACAATGGCAATCTTTCTAATTACTGAAGTCTTATTTTAGCAAATGATATACCACTTTTTTCCAACACAGAAAAGCTCAGAGGTTTATGTGAGATTTTATAATCCAGCACAGTCTGTAAGTATATTTGAATGGCTTATTTTTCTCTCCAGATTCAGTTTAGCTCCATTTTCCTTTTGAAAGCAAAAATAGAACTGTGATTTTAACATGTTGCACAGAATTTTGCAAAGTCAGCTGACTGAAACTCTTTCTAATAATGGCCTGACATACAGACACACAACTGCTACTTGGAAATAACCTATTGAGTTCTCAATATCATGAGGTGGTTCTTCTGCAATGTGTTTCTTCTTGTCTACAGTTAATTTGTGCCAAGTTTTCTGGCAATGTATTTATAATAGTGCTGCTTTCTGCCTTTCTTTGCTTCTGCATTTGTTTTAGACTCAGGACAATTTTGGCTGCTACAAGTTCTTAGAGGAGCTTGCAGAAAACAGTTTGAGAAAAATATCTTAGAGGAGTTAACTCATCATTAAACAGCCCAGCAGAGAGGGGCTGATCCAACACAGTCATGCTGATGGAGTGCACAGCTCTAGGGGTGAGAGCAGAGCTCATGAAGGAGATGCGTGCCCACATCAGGTGGTGCTAATCTACAAGAGTGTACAGAAGGAAGATGATGAAAACCCCTTAGCTTCTGCCACCCCAAATACTAGTAAATCAAAGCATGAGTTGAGTCTTTTGTTATTTGTTAGAGATTATAAATATATTCAAAAAAGCCTTACAGTAAATATTTACTATTTTTTATAATAAAAATCAGTAAGATTAAAACAGTGTCTCTCCATGTTATTCTCAGTATCTGATAAGAGCTATACATAAAATTTCAGAAGTACACTCCATGGCATGGAATCCTCTGCTGTAGGAAGTGACGCCTCTTTGTCCTGCACTGCACACAGCTACTCCGCAAAGAAATATACCACTAAAGACACATGCATAGAAATATAGAAAGACTATATTTTCCCACTCTCACCTTCTTGCACAGCCATCTCAGTCTCACTTTTCTGTGAGAAGGTCAGTGCCTCCACTGGCTCTTCCTTTGCTGGGAGAGGTGGAGGAGAAGTACCTTTAGCAACAGGTTGAGTAATCGGGGTCTTGCCAATGACAGGTGGCTGTACTCTAACTGCAGGGTGATGATATAGCTTGTTTCTGTGAGGGCCAGAAACCGTATAACCCATTCCACCAGGGCAGATTTCCTTAAAAGCAGCTAGATTTGAGATGGGAAAATATTCCTTTTAGGAGTCTAAAAGTGCAATATGTTGACATAGTGGAAAATATAATGACTACCACTAATAAATTTAATCTTATATTGTACATACATTTTTACAAAAAACTACGTAAAGACAAGCTATGCATTGCATGCTAATATGAATGAGCATTCTCCCAAAAGCACGTTCTGGCTGTTATTCCCAGGAGGTTTCCACCCCGGTTTACCATCTTTCTTCAGTTATGTTTAATTTATCATTATCTCAAGATAATTTTTTGTATTAATCCTCTTCAAACAGTATATCCTTTCTGAATATGAATTTAGATATGCAAAATGTCATCATCATTTACATTGCATAAGGAATGAAGATCACTATTTCTATCATTCTCTTTTTGATGAAACCAAAGGAAAAAAGCTCACTACCCTGTACTAGAGGAGCAGAATATCATACAGTAACAATATTAATTCACAGGATCCCACTTGACTACATCAGAGGTCTCATACCAGCCCTGATCCAAATTCAATTGAATTGAGTAAGTTTTTCCACTGACCTCTGTGGCCTAGATAAAAACAAGATGGGGATCATAAAAAGCCAAATTGCCACTGGAAAAACAGGGGAAATAATCTCATTTATAAAGCAGCTACAGAAAAAGGTAATGAAAGTCAGGGAGCAGCACCTGCTCTGATCCTGCAGCTGCTCTACATGAGCATCAGGTTTTGCAGTCCTAGTGGAAGACTAGAATGAAAAAGAAATACACATCAGCCTTCCTCCCCATCAAAGATAATAGCTATGTGCCTGTCAGGGAAAGGGAGACCTTCAGAAGTCTTGAGGGACCAGTGCTTCCTTGTCCTCATTGCTCTAGGTAAAGCTGTGTTGGGATGAAACACCAAAGATTTAGTCTCCCATGTGCCCGATGTGATTTCTTACAGCTTCCTAAGAGAAGTGCAGACTGGGGCATTGGTAAGTTCACAAATTCTGCTTTGAACACATCAGGGTTTTAAAATTAATTAGCATCTAAAATAAAAACAAAAAATACTAGCTATAGGTATTCCACAGATAAATTAATTAAATTATACATTAAATTGCAGTATGCATTAATTGCATACTGTGTTCTGATGATGTTTCTGATAGAAAGGATGAAGGGTGAAACTGATTAAATTGAGCGCATTCAGAATGATGAAATACTTTTTGTTGGGAAATGCTAGTATCAAAACTTGCCACAAAAACACCCAACTGAGGGTGAGAATTCTGGTCAAAGAAGGAAGACAGAGAGAATTTGATGCCTGTCCCTTCAAACACATACTTAGGATGTAGGAAATCTTGTTTCAGGTCATTCACTCAAATGCAACATAGAAATGTGAGCCTTATTCTACTGCAGCTCTGCTAAGTGCTCTCAGTACGTGGGTATACAAAGCTGGCCTCTCTCAGGCTCTCTTTTGGAACTGGTCTACTTTGTGCAAATATTTTAAAAACTAGCAGAGAGTGAGATCATGGCTTTTTAATTCAATGACTCAAATTGACATGGGATGCTGCAGTACATACATTACCCCATTCTGGAGTATCCCACTTTCACACATTTTTCATAGAAAACTCTGAAAGATTATGAACTTAACCTGTTATAGAAAGGAACATGTTTTTAAATCATGAAAGTTATAATGAAATGGGAAAAATGTTTCCCACACAGCTCATCAGAATTTTCTATTCACAAATTTTCTCTCTGAAGTATTTTCATTAAGAAAAATCACTAAAAAATCAATTCCACATACTATTCAATGATGTACTTTTTATGACTAGAGAACAGTCAACACTGCAAAAAGATATCTCTAATCCAGAACACACACAATTGGGCATAAAGCCTCATGTAATATTCTCACAGATGTAAAGCATCTGCATTTAAATTGCAAGTCATCTGATGAGAATATGTTTTTTTTCTCCACTAAATAGCCACAGAAATATTATTTATCTGAAAGCTAACTAGACTTTTAAAATCCTAATCAGTGAACTAGCAACCCAATGGTCATGTAGGAAACAATGGCTTTAAAAATCAATTGAAATACTAAAAAATGTTGGTCACTTCCAATTCTGTAAGCCCAACCTGAAAAAAGTAAGGAATCTGCTGCTTCCATGTGCTAGCTGTCTCTGACGCTAGCTGTGTATTTCCTAAAGCAGCTAGTTAGTTTTGAAATAATATTCAATTGGTTTTGACTAAAGACTCCAACTTTGGTCATTTAAGTATTAAGCAGAATTGGAGAATAGAAGGGACTTGAAAACAGCAATCAGTATCTATAATATGTGGTATCTTTATCTATGAGCAGCCTAAATGAGAGTGGTGACCAACCAAGCTGGTATTTTCCAAGTCCTTATATATTTAAAAACCATCAGGACTCGAAGAGAACACTGATAATACAAGTGAGCTTTATGTATCAAGTAAGGAATTGTTTAAGTGAAAGGTGGCATGAAATGCTTAACTACCAGTTTACTGTTAAGAGGCAACACCATACTTAGCACATTCCTGAAAATGGATGGTAAAGATACGGAGAAAGGTTAGAAAGCAGAGATACTTCCGTACATATCCCACTAACTGTAATGTAAACTACAACACGTCATTCTGTAACCTAATTCTCAAAAACTGCCATCCTTTCACTGGTTCCTTTAACATCTGAAGAGTATAAATCAGATTTTGGGTTAATTTGCCTATATCTATCGTCAGAATATGATGTACAATGGAGAATCAAAGTCCAAGGACTTATTCTCAGATGCAAATATCAATACTCTGGAATTCTCTCACAACATATCCTTTGTTTTAATCACAAATTCCTATGAACAAAAATACTATATATGTGATAATTCTGCTATCATGCAGAGCACTGCCATAATTTACTGATGGATACTTGTTTAAAATCAGTTATTAGATTTTTTTTTTTTTTAAAGCATGCATAAAAATACTGGGGGTGGGGGAGGCACAGGGTTACGAGCTCGTATTTTTAATGGGCAGTTCTTACCTGTTCCTGGAAGCGGACACTTCTCGCAGTGTGGGCCCCAGGCTTTGCCGACACTGCAACAGCAAAGCTGCTTGCTGAGCTGAACAGAAAGAGGATGCATGCACTGCTTTCCTGCACTGACAAACCGGTAGCAGGGTCCTTTCTCTTCAGCAACTATAGGATTATCAGCTGCAATGAAAGTGGATAAGAGGATCGTACTGTTCACATGAAAAGCAAAAGAGACACATCACTAAATTTCCAACACCAGTTAAATGGATTAATATTACCATCTACACAAGTTTTAATTCAAACACCTGTCTCAAGCCATAATCACAACATAAAGTACATTCTTATTTCACACTCCTGAATTCCGACCCATTGTAGACAAAGACCATAAAAAAACAGCAGTTGGCATGCTGCCACCATAAAGAGTCAGTCAGTATCAGCTCTCACACTTGGAACTCAAGTCCACCTGCTGAAGACTAAGGTCAATTACTGGCAATATACAGTTGAGTCAAGCTACATAGCCACTGGAACATTCAGCTATAAGCAGGCTATATAAATAAGACTGTGAAAGGATTAAGTGTCATACATGACACTTTCTTAATCAAAGAGACTATTATATATTTACATTTTGTTGTACTTTGTTTTAATGTGTAAGAGACAAAGGCCACAAGTTATGACTAGTATGAGGTAACAGGAAGCTAAGATCCATCCAGGTTTTTAATTTCTGCATCCACATTAACATACAGTTAACAGTTCTGGGTAATATGTTCACTTAACTAAAAAAATACAAAGACTATCTGATTTTCAACATGACATGTAAAAGCAAAAATGAAAAACAACTCATTTTTTCTGGTGTTAAACGGAAAAGTGATAAATTCTTCAAAATGCTGAAAAACTTTCTCAGTAATTTAATGTCATTAACTAGTAGTATAAGATAATTATGCTGAAAAATGAAAGAATCCACCTATGGCTCTAGCTCATACTTTATTTTATAAATCTAAAGATAGCTCAGATAAGGAGCTTAGGAAATGCGGTATTCTTTACTCATAAATATTCTTCCCAAAAAACTTGAAGTGAGAAATTCAGTTGTTCTCTATGCCTTCTTTTCTTCTTGCTGAAGTAGTTGATGTCAAACCAAGTAAAAGCTGATTAACAAAGTAAAATATTTGCATTCATGCTGCTCACAACTTTTTCTTTCTCCTAATTCTGTCTTAATTTTTAATCCTTCTTAATCAGAAGGAAAATGAGCCAAAGATCGTCCTGGGCTGAATGTTTAGTAATGGAAACTACCCAGGTCAAAGCTGCAGAGGTAGAGGAGGGGAGGGCAGGACACAAAGATGATTTTGGCTGGGGATCTAGCAGAGAGGGGGAAAAATGATCACAGGAAGGAGAACTTCAAGCTGGTGAGAAAGACCGAGTGTATGAGGAGGCTGGATGTGGCCTTGAAGGTTTTGTGACAAGAGAACCAGGAAAAGAAGGCAAGGAACCTGGGCAGCCACCGGTGGAGACCAAGGCTTCCAGAACAAAGAGAAAGAAAAGAGGCGTGAGGACCCAGAGTGATTAAATAAAATGAATGAGCTGGGAAAAGGAGGCAGCGACAGCAAAAAAGATGGGGACAGCTTAGAAGAGTTGGGGCCAGTCAAATAAATCCTCAGCTAAAGTACAACTAAGTATCTATTTTGGTACTTTGACTAGCACTATTACTTACGTATGCATCTTGAGAGGGTAGGATCTGGCACAAATCCCATCTTGCAGGTACATCTGTAGCTACCCATGGTATTCAAGCACTCACCATTAGGGCATACTCCCTGTAACTGACACTCATTGATATCTGTGGGAAAATTGAAAATAATCAGGTACTGAAACTTGTATTAATACTCTTCTTCCTTCAGAAGCCTTTTTTTAAAAAAAAAAAAAAAAAAAAGTGCAGGAGAACTGTTATGAGTTAACATTCCAATCAACATTTTTTCCCCTACTGACAACATTTGATTTATAACCTTTTAAAATACTGCTGAGAACACAACAGAAAAAACAATTACATTTATACATCATTCTCAAGTACTCTGAATTAAAAAAAATACACTTTGACTGGCTTATCAATCTCTCTTTTCCTGACTAGATGATTGCTTGCGCAGTCAAATACAACTCACAAGAACGTTCACACAGACAAGTTTTAAGCAATGTAGTATATTTTATACAGGATGGAACAGTGCTGAACACATTTAATACAGGTTTTGTTAGTATTTGTATTTGGTAGTGCCTGAAGGTTCATTGTGCTGAAAGCAGCACAATGCAAAAATATAATCTCTAGACTAAAGAGCTTACCATCTTAACAGTGAGAACAAACTTCAGGAAGCACAGAACACATGTAATGTGGGGCAAAAAGGACTCCATCCATGGGAACACAACTTTGTAATAATTAACAACTGCTTTGATAAATTTTGCTGTTCCGAGGCTACCTGCACCAGTGTCCCTTTCCGGGTCTCACTGAATTATTCCCCCATGCCCCAAGCATTGGGCCTCAGGCCTTTATCACACTTGAGGTTGTAACTATAATTCACTTACTCTTAGAATAGGACCTGTTTGACAATCATCTGGATACCATCTGTAACTAAATCAGCCAAACTAGGCTTTTATTTCAGGAGACAGTAACAACATAACTTGCAGTGATAATAAAAATCTTAAAAATAATACTCCCCCACCCCCACCTATAATTGTCTCTGTCAAACTGTCATGTCTCCTCTTTCAGAAAAATAGACAGCACATTGAAACAGACCTACTTTAAAATGCTTACATGTGTTACTTCTACATAAGACTTTCTCTCTCTATCCCTAAACTGGTAAAAAAATGCCTACCTTGTTGGGCAAACAAGCTTCAAGTGGAAGTCAGATATTCCAGCTAGCTCCTTGGAAATCGGGCATTAGTGATAATTTTATCTAAAACACATAATATTTATTACCTATCCTCTCAGTTCATATAAAACCTTCACCATTTTATTTTACCTCATTATATGTTGCTGCCTGATTCAACACAATCAATGAGGGCAAGAAGTTGAATATATAAAATATAACAGCTGTGCTGGAGTTTGCTTTTGGAAACTTACAGAAAGAATCTTTCACGTTCCTACCTTCTTCTTAATTTTTCTCCACAAGTTTGGCTACCTGTCCCACTTCACAGGACCGCACAACTTAAGCTCACAGTACAGCAGACTCTAGCAGTTGCCATGTCAGCTGTGTTTTTTTCCAAATATTCAGTGTTGAACTTATCCCTCAGCTCTTCCAATGCTATACCTAATCTAGTATCTTGACACCACCTGGATCAACTTCACCTCTATGCACTTAGCCACACATGACAAAGAGTGATAATCTATATCCTAGAACTTTGGATGAAATCTGATGAAAACCACATGAATTACAAAGGATCAGCTCTGCCTCAAAGGAATTTTCAAGTGAAATTCCCAGACTACATGACTTTCTGACCTCAGAGGGAGTATACTATTTAAGAAGGAGAATGGTATATGAAGAGAGCATAAAAACCTGCTGAAATATTCTCCGACAGCAGTCTACATTTTGACCCATCCAATCTTTTAGCAGGAAGATGTCCCATATAAGCACAGGAGTATCATACTTGAGGACTGCACTAATACAGAATATTTAGTAGGCTAGACTTGTTTAGACAGTTTCTTCAGTTGCTTAGTCTGATCAGATTCTTTCTTTTGCCCTGAAATCCCAAAATATGATTGAAGGCATCTGCAGACTAACAATTGATACTAAAAGGAAGATCATCATTGTGTCAATACCATTATCTTTTGTGACTATGGCAAGGAATGAACTTAAATCTTAACAGCTAGCAAACTAAATACATCATTGAAACACCTCTAAATAGAAATATATGGATGCTGTTGTAAAGTTGTTGAGAGGAAAGAACATACAGCTAACCCTCAACTTTCAAACATCAGGCACGACAAGGGACATAACGGAAGAGAAGACTATGAAACACCTAGAAGCTAATACAAAACAAATACAGGAACACTCAAGAACCCACTACTGGATTTTCTACCTGTTGGCAACCTGAGTTTTCACATCAGTCCTCAAATGCTAAACCGCGGAACAACTGTACTTGTTTTGACGAAGCACTAACTTGACAAGTTAGAAGAAGAGACAGTATGCTTTACTCTGAATATAGGAAAAACCTCAATATTCAGGTTCATTTAAAAATGAAAATCCTCAACACAATTACACAAATATACAAACTACACACATATATGTGCAAGAAGAACACAGATATTGGAGAAAGAGGAAAAAACAGGGAAAATTAACAGATGGAAGAAAGATAATATCAAAAATAAAAAATTAAGATACATATTTTTAACAAGGACTGCACTTTTATTCTAATCTGACTTTTGCTTTTTATCATTTAATATTAGTTACTCGTTGGTGTTGACATTGGTACATATAGTAAGAATACTTGCTCAGTTTATTCATTGTAATAGCCAGACATTTTTAAACAACTTTCTCCTTTTACAAATTCTAAATATCCATTTTTAGTTATTTCCCCTGTACTACTGGGGAAAAAACAGAAGATGTCTCCCAGGGGATATACATAACATGCCACATTTTCTTGTCACTTTCTGGAATATATATCCATGTAGAGTTAGCAGAAATGCTTTGTCAAGTGAAGACACCATTTAAATTTTAACAGTGAAAAAGATAACTTGTTTTAAATAATATTAATATGACTTTGATTTTATAGTTCTTATTTTCAAGAAAAGACCAAGTCTCTTGTTCGTTAGCCATTAAAATACATGGCTATTTGCTCATATGTTATCATTATGAAAAATCTGGCACTTTTCCTTCCCGTCTAAAAGGATAACTATCATTCTACATGTATTTAAGCTTTAACATAAGTGAATTCACACTTTCAATGTTTAACATCAGTAATGATGCATTTTCCATTTATTAGATGATGATTTTACTCATTGTTTGGATCAAGCTTCATTTTAAGGAATGTTAAAAATCTATATATACGTACATTTTATTATTTGAATACTGAAATTACATAGCAAAATCCTGCAAAGACACAGACAGATAAGAAGAAAAAAAAAACACTTGTGAAACCAGCTTTCTAACTTGAATTTGAATAATTTTATTTACAATGCTAGCATTATCTTTACTACTCAAATGAACCATATCTTTTAAGTTTGTAGAACTGTATCTCTATGTTGTAGAAAGAAAAAATGGTGTCATAATTTTCAAGCAGTTTTCCAACTTTGAATAACTTAGCTACTGAACTGAAATGCATATATAATATATATACTTTCAGTGAAATGAAGAAAAAAAATTCTGTTCTGTAGAAGGGGGAACAAAATCTGGCTTTACATTTAACCAAATTCTATTTACAGGTTACCGACTTCAATTAGCTGAGTGATCTTGAATACTTAGTAGCAAAACCGCGGTATTTTTATTTTATAATGAAAATTTTTTTAACATAGCTTATATTTAAGTTTTTATACAGATAAAGTGTAATTGTGAATTTTTAACTAAGGTGAATTTAAATACAATCCAAATAGAAATTATGCAAGTTTTTACAGATCTGAATTTTATTTCATATCACTGCTGAGAACAACTGACATGGGAACATACTGGATACATTTGGTGATACTGTGAGAATTCTGTTTTAGATTCAGTAATAGTGAAAGTTTCATGGCATTATTTACTGAAGTGGCTAATTTGCAGGTAGATGGGCTCTTCCTGTAATTCATCAATACACAGTCATCTTTCTTTCCAAATTATTCATTTATTCTGCAGGAAACATTCACAGATGCTGTCATTACTGCCTCTGTATTAAATCTCTTCCTAGGTGAACTGTTCTTGAATGTCCAGTATTTAAAAATATAACACACCATTCATCTGTTATTGCTATTTAATGTGGGCACTGCTACGTTTAACTATTGGCTTATATGTACATAAATATCAATTAATGTTCCTTCTAGAGTTCCTGATACAGATATTTCTCTTTCTAAATTTGTCCAATTTTTAAAGTTAACTTTATTGTGCATGTTCTGATATCTCAGTATAACTTAATTATAGTGTATTTTTAATGCCTCTTTCCCAAGTCATGTCCTCACAATGAGCTCACAGAATTACTGAACTGATGCTCTATGCTGAATTACACAAGCCTATCTAGGGATTCAATAGAAACAAGCCACAGGTTGACTAAAAAACCTTCACATTTTCAAAAGAAACATACATACATATAAGAATAGTGTTTATTTAACAACTTCGGGGGAAAAAA